AAAGATAGCTACAAGTATATATTTTACCTGGAATGTCGCTAACAATTTTTTGTATATTTATTTTAAGCAATTTCACTAGGATACACAGAAATATAAGAATATTAATAATTTAGGTGTGAGAGGGAATGGAAAATGAGGGTAGAGCAATAATGGAGTAGAATTGTATAAATAGATAGGGGGAAAGTACTTAACGGGCGCGGTGACCGGGCGCTTGGAAGTGGGAGGTCTGGAGATTGAAGAAGACGTTAACGCCACTCTATATGTCGTTATTCCTTACCCATGTAATTAATTCATATTTGAATTTAACGAAAGTATTTAAATGTTTTAGACTCGATGGTAATTTATTCCAGGGTCGGATAGCTGTAATGGTGAATGATCTACTGAACGAAGTCGTGTTGTGACGTGGTACACAAAGCAGAGCTGAATCACGAGCTCAATTTAGTTTCAGAGGATTGAGGTTACTTATGAAGCGTCTTGCATGAGAACCGTTTACAACTTTAAAAAGAAGAACTTTAAAAGAGAGTGGAGTAACCGTATTTTGTCTAAAGTTCTTAGATCAAAAATAAAACGTACGCATGCGTTCTGGGCTACTTGAAGTTTCCGTTTTAAGTTGAATATCATGTTGGTCAGAAGAAAGTCACAATAGTCGAAATGGGTCATGATAAGTGATTTGTTGAGAGTTTCACGAGTAAAAGGGTAAAAGTGTTCGCAGGCGTTTCAGTGAATGCATTGAGGCAAACAATTTACGGCAGGTTCAATCTACTTGCGAGTTCTAGCTAAGTGTGTCGTCGATAACTACACCGGTTCTTGTCATCGGAACACCAAGGTAGAACAGTTATATAAATATTAGGCAAAGATAAGATGAGATTTTATTCATAGTGCTTTTTGAACTGATAATTATGCACTGTGATTTATTTTGGATTAATTGTAAACCTAAAGACGCTGCCCAACTGTTAACCGTTATGAAATCTTCATTAATTTTTTGTACGAGTGATAATAGGTGAGACGGCTGGTCACTTAGATATATCTGGAGATCATCCGCATACATTTGATGACTGCAATATTTAAGTGCATTCTCTACTTCATTTACATAGATTAAGAAGGCCAGTGGCCCTATCACAGTGCCTTGAGCAACTCCCCGGTTAAGTTTCAAGCCCCTTGAGCAGCGGCTACCGTACACCACTCTTTGAGTTCTAGAAGTTAAGTAATTAAGAAACCATGTACGCATGGACTGTGCAAATCCCATGATCTTTAATTTTGCGAACACGATGTCGTGATCTACTGAATTGAATACTTTGCTGAAATCCATAAGAACCAAGATAGTTATATTGCTGTAATCTATTGATCTTCTCGCGCCTTCAATAATACGAAGGTCACTCCAAAATTTTCGAGAATGAGCAACAATGAGTTACTCAGCAACAATTAAACTATTTCCATTGTTAGGTGGATCTTTTAGTAAGAATCTCGCGCAAGTTTGAACACGCTCGGGTAATTTATTAACTTAGAAGGGTTATTTGTGTTCTATTAGTTGTTGTTCCTCTGCCAATAACGATGGACCTAAAGAGAGAGCATTTCAAAGCTATGATTTTGTAAGACTTAAAGGTTGGCTTACATAAGAAATCATGCCTCGAGAGATTACAGACTGCGTTTGGCAATGGTTGCCCTTCACAAGCCACTGTCTATCGATAGTTTGCCGAATTCAAGAGGGGAAGGGACTCTCTGGAAGATGAAGACCGTTCTGGCAGGCCCAACTCAGCAACAACGGATGAAAATGTGCTGAAAGTGGAACATTTGCTATGGGAAGACCCTCGTTGTACATATGCTGAGATTCAGGAAGCTTTAAATATTAGATCAGCCGCAGTGAGATATATCCTGAAAGAAAAGCTTCACGTTAGGAAGCAGTGCTGTCGCTGGATCTTTCACAATATGTCAAATGAACAAAAAACGGCGCATGTGGATTGGTGTCGTGAGACCCTGGATAAGTTCAATGGAGGTAGATCAAAAACATTTTTAACATCGCGACGGGTGGTGAAAGCTGTATTTATCAATTTGATCCAGAAATGAAACTGCAGTCATCAGTGTGGATCTTCCCAGATGAAAATCCTCCAAAGAAAGTGAGAAAACCCGGAAGCTTTGGCAAAATGATGTTTTGTTCTTTCTTCTCTGCTAGTGGCCATATTGTGACAGTGCCTCTCGAGGAACAAAAGACAGTCACTGCAGGATGGTACACTACAATTTGCTTGCCCAGATTGTTTGAAGAGCTGAGAAAGAACCGTCCAAAATCAGGTTTGCATGGAATCCTTCTCCACAATGACAACGCGTCATCCCACACAGCCGGAGCAACAACTGAATTCCTGACAGAATCAATGATTAAAACACTATCATCCCCCCTACAGTCCAGACCTGGTCCCGTGTGACTTTTTTCTTTTCCCTTATGTGAAAGAAAAAATTTGAGATCATTGTTTCGAGTCAGCTCAGGCTCCAGTGACTGCATATGAAGATCAGATTTGCAGTATCTCTAAAGAAGTGTGGCGATCGTCATTTGATAATCGGATGAAACGTTGCATAGAGTGTGGTGGAGAGTACTTCGAGAGGATGTGAAGATAAGAACTTGTTATCTTGATTTTAAATATAGTATTCTCAAAACTTTCGGAGTGACGCTCGTATTTAGTAGCGCGTTTCCTGTATTCCTGCCGGAACGGAAACCTGTTTGCTGATCGTTTAAAAGTAATTTTTGTTCGAAGATACTGTTGAGTTTGCTTTCGGACGACTTTTTCGAGTACTTTAGAGGTAGTTGGGAGGATGCTAATTGGCGGTATTCGATAGGGTTTTTGGTTGATGTCTTGAGAATAGGATGCACACGCGCAGTCTTCCAGGATAAGGGATATTGTCCGCTCATTAGTGAGAAATTTACTACTTCGGTGATGATTGGGTAGGTCACACCTAGGCTAGTTTTTAGCAGTTTGGCATTTATACCACCGGAACCTGAACCATTGGAGTAGAGGCTTTGAACGATTTTGATTATATCATGATGTTCAACTGAAGAAAAGAAAAATGTATCGTTCGATTTTATTGCTGAATTTTGGAGAAACGCAAGAGATTACCTTTTCAAGTTACTGTCAAATGAAGGGACGTTATTTTTGAAACTATGATTTAGTGAGTCTAAGGGCATATTCGCTTCAATTTGGGGAGGACATTTGCTTATTCCTAGATTTTTCCAAATCGTCTCGAGTCGCGGTTTCTGCCGAAGACGGTGTGGTACTATTTTATTTCAGCGTTGCGGCTTTTCTGCGTGACTACATTTCTGAGCATTTTGTACTGTTTTTTAAGTAATACGCATTTAGTTTTCTGAAAAATAGAATACTATGCATCACAATTTTTCATTAAATTTTGGATTTCATCAGTTAACCATGGTGCAGGAGGATGAGTTACGTGCGAAATTTTTAAAGTTGCATGCCTGTCGTAAGGGTATGTTATTTAGTTAATGAAAATCACCACTTTAGCGTCCAGTGATTCTTTTTCGTGTATAAGGTGCCATGGTAGTGTCAATCCATCTATGTTAAATGCTTGCTTATCGAAATTTGCATAATCGCGATTCTGTGAGGTGTGTATTTAGGGCACTTCAGGCACAAGATAAATTGTCTTGTTTTGAAATTCCAGAAACTGTAAATTGTCCGTGTTTCGAACTTTGTATTAGACACTATAATATGATCGATCCAAGTTTCTGTGCTCTTTGAGTGGTGTGTTAGTGTTAGAGGAACAATTTCGAGGCACATGCTATGGAAAATACGAATAAATGCTCTGTAGAGGGAGAGGCTTTTAATAAGTTGTGATTAAAGTCACCCATTACAATAATATGTTTATAAGAATTTCGTCCAACATATCTATGCTGCCTGTCTTATGAGGTAAATATATGACAGCCAAGAGGCATTTTCCCCTAAAATTACAACTTCGATAAAAAGATATTCACTACGAAGGCAATCCGTATTTGTTGAAGATGCAAAAGATCATGAGCAAGTTTTAGATCTTATTTAGATTTAGATTGTAGAAAAAATGAGTTGTTGTGCGTATGAAGTTGATGTAAATTATTTTTTAAATATCTCAAAAGCCGCTCTAAATTGTTGCCTCATTTTTCACGGATAGAATAAGAAACACTTAAAAGAATAGCGCAGGTTTCATTTTCGTTAACATCAAAATAATGCGAGAAAGTATGCGCTGTTAAGCTACACTGGTTCATTATCAGGGTCAGGCAATAATAGTTTTTCTGAAAACAAAATCGTCGTTTTCTCGCCACATTATCTTACGAAGTAAAGGCATGAAAATAAAAGTGTTTCCGTACAAAATTCGAAATCATATCAGAGAAGGCAACACTGTTACAGCATGACTTTGTCAGCGTAGTTTTATTTAAAGCTTATTCGTAATTATATTACCATCTCGGTTCTTTGAATCTCGTATGGATGATCGCCATGAAAATTAAGTGTTTGAACCTAAGTGATTAATAATTGTAGTCCATAGTAACGAAGTTCATATCCATATATAATTTAATAAAATATTATTTAGAAATGTCTTATGACAATTAGACTTATTTATAAGAAGAATCAATGAGGTTAAAGAGCTTTACGAGCTTCAATAATACTTTTTAGAGCTATCGGAATTTTATACTAGTTATATTTTCTTTCGTAATCCTTGCAAATTAAAATGAACATTAAAGTGTATAGAGGCAGATATATGAGAGGAAATACTATTCTATTCCATTCGTATGTTTGTATATTTACGTGACTATATTTAAAAACCTGATGTAACGAAATAAAACGTTCGGGATCGAACTAAAAGCAACAGCGTTTACGAATTACTCGAAAGGAAAGGAGTGTCCAATCCTCTGCAATGCGCAAAACGCCCCTTCGTTGACAACAATAAACAGCTACTGGAATGATAATCATATTTTCTTGGTTTGCCAAATAATACACGCATGCGTTTTTCAAACGGCGGTTGTCATTGACATGGAAGCGGGACAGCGGTATTGTTTGTATGATAAATTAGCAATGCCGGTAAGTTGAAGAAACTAATATTTATAGCAAAATATAAATTTAGCGGAAATACTTATTAGTTTTCTGATTTAAAATGCCTGTTCAAATGATAATTTCAAGATAATGAAGTAATCTGAAATTTAATGGTGCAGTTGTACACAAAACTTAACATTTTACATATGTTTTGAAAATGTAGATAATCTGTAAATTAGATAAGTGAATTGTTTACGTTATTTTAACCATATACAATCCTGATGTAAACTAGTAATTTTCTGCGTATCATCACTTTCTCTTCTCTCCTGTAACCTAAAAATTGGCAAGAAGTTGGCACATTCGTTTTTCGTTATTTTAAATAATTATTTACTATATTATTATTATTATTATTATTATTATTATTATTATTATTATTATTATTATTATTATTATTATTGCCATCTTTTATTTTGTTCTTGAATGTTTAAAATCCAATCCACAAATTTTATTATTCATGAAAACTGTAAGAATGTGAAATGAAACATTATAAACTAGACCGTGATAATCCACTAAGTTCGTATTTATTTATCATTATAAGTGTATTTCTGTATTACAGAATACTTTTTACAAAGGAAAGCAACATAAGTTTATTTTCGGAGAAAATGCTTTTAAAGAAAACAAAATTGTACAACTTATTTTAAATAGTGTGGAGTATTAGAAAGCGAACCTACTGGCTTTATTTTAAACTAAAATGGAGCGCTTCATAACACCAAGGAATGCTTGTTGGTTAGGGATTTGTATCACTGGACAAGACAATCCAGTTGCTTTCATACATTGTGTAAATAGAATGTCCCTGATGCCGCGGTAGCAGGCAAAGGAGGCGAGGGAGGCCGATGACGCAAAAGAAGTTATGGACCTGCAAATAATGGAATATGAGGATGGAGTGTAATATATTACGCCTTTTAAAACGAGACATTGGTGACGATTTCCTTGTTTGAGGTACTACTTGCAATTTTTTTGGAAACCTGTGTCCCGAAACTTACATACCATTATTTTCAGTGGCTTGAGGGCTAATTTTGCAAACTTAAGGCCTAGTACCTAGAGTTGCTTACGGAAAGTACGAATATGTAATGGATTTTTCCTTATTACTACATTATATTGTGTAGTCTCTACTTTTTGTAAAGCGGTGCTTTCAATCTTTACGCCGAAATGGCGGTTCACTGAACTCGGCCATTCTTTTATTTGTCTTAATTAGTATATTGTTTATTTACCTTGATTGTTAATATTCAGGCACATAGCACAATTTTATTTAATTATTTTAGCCCGTGATCAACAGGATTGTGTAAATTTGTTTCCTTGACAAGTGTTTTTCTCTTTTAAAATTTATTCAGGAATTGCATTTTCTATTCAATAACAATATGGCTAAGCGACCTGCTGAGAATGACTCTCCAGGGAGTAGCCAACCACCGATTAAAAAAGTTCAGTTTGAACCAATGCGAATTGGAACCATAACAACACTAGAGGAATTGGACATGAAAGTACTACAATTTCAGAACAAGAAGTTGGCTCAGGTAAGCGTAGTTAATATTGCTATATACATTTGTGTTATGTCCAGCTTTTTAATGATAGCTTTGCATAACAGCGATTGGAACAAAGGCAAAGGTTGGAAAATGAATTGCGACAAAGGATAGAACAACTTGAGAAACGACAAACTCAGGATGATGCTGTCCTGAATGTTGTGAATCGGTATTGGAATCAACTAAATGAAGATATAAGAGTGTTGCTTCAAAGATTTGATGCAGAAACTGCTGATGAATCAGAAAATAGAAGTAAGTGGATTTAGAGATTACATTATGTGTTTAGTGATCTTTCTCTTTTATATAAAGTTATTTTTATTGATTTTTCTATGTGCAGATGAAAATGAGGCAACTACATCATTTTTAATGCAGTTATCAACATGGGATAAGGAAGAACTTGATGAAAAGTTGGCCAATAGAGTGCAAGTATCAAAGCGTGCTGTTGCGAAGGTTATTCAAGCCTTTGACAGATTGATGCAAAGAAATGAGAAGATTACACTTGCCCTTAAGGGTGAATTAGATGGAGGTTATTGGAATCTTCTCCCATCTTGTGATCAGTGTATGCGTGTTTTGGTTGATTTTTTAGTTTATTGTGTTTTTATGGAATAAATTATTTCTAGTTTTGTTTATTTATGTTTTGTTACTTTTATTTTCATTCATTTAAATATTATTTGTGTTGGAGTACATGAGACGTAGGTAACTTAAAATAGTATGGTAAATGTTGAGTAATAAAGAGCTTGTTTACTGAAGTAAATATTTGTTTCAGATGAGGCACCAAACATTGATGAAACAATTCGTCAAGCAAATATTGAAATCCAAGCAGAAAATAGGAATCTACAAGCTCTTAACACCTCTCTTCATGAGAAATATCACACAATTTCATTGAAGGTTGTTATAAATTTTATTACTTGCTGTTGGTGAAAGGAATTGTTAACTTGACGTACCTGCTTCATGTAGCTTGGTAGAAAGGGTACAATTTAAAAATGAACTACAAAGTTGACACAATTTTCTGAAAGTTTTAATTAAAGACTGGATCTGTCATACTGGATAGTGCTCTTTGCATGAATTCTCTTTTTCTATTCTGATGGAGGTTGCAAGATTCTTATATCTGCAAGTTTGCTAGCCATGTTAGGAGCATGTATTTATTTTGTTATGTGATATTTACATCAAGCACCACTGCACAAATTAAATGGAGCGTGTATGTTTTCCCTTATTTAATTCCCAGCATGTTTATTAAGTATTGGATATAAAATTTGGATTTATTTATTTAATTGCTTGAGCCGCCCTGAAATATTCTTGAACTAAATTTCTTTTTGTTTGATCTTTACAAATAGCAAAAGATCTTTTATCATTTGTGCATGAATAAAATGTTTTACTTTTCGCAAAGATAGTATTGAAAGAGAAATATTTAAATATGTATTGTTCAAATGAATGTTCTTAATTCGTTCTTTTATCCAAGAAAACTTATGGTTATTTATGTTAAATACTTTATGAACTTTATTATAGTAAAGAAGCTTGTCAATTTTCTGTGTACCTGTCACACTGCAAACCAGTTTTTGTCTCGAAATTTTTGTGGGGGCTTGTGATTTATATAATCATTCAGCTACAATGTGAATTAAAATTGACATTTGTGTAATGTGAGAGAGTTAAATTAGAAGTTCCAATCAGTACATGTGGGCATTCATTCCGTTACGTGAAGTTTCATACAAAGGTATAAGTACCATTTTTATTTTAATTGGATGGTGTGTAATTAAGGAATTTATGTACACTGGTGATTAATAAATAAAACAAAAAAAGTATTGTTTATAAGCATGCAAGATGAAATTTACATCAGATGTATTGAGGAGACACATTTTGAACAAACTAAGATGCTCACATAAAATTAAGTTTTTAATGTAAAATAAGATATAACTTATTATTTCTGATTTACATTAATAATTATTTTATGTTTCTTAAAGCTGAGGAATATTGATAGTACATTTCTAAAGTAGCATTGGAACTGTGAATTGAACTTGAACTACCTCTTTTATTCAGTTTTCCTTCCCTTTTGTGACATGGATTTTAACACAGCCATTTACTGGTCCAATTCACAACCTTTAGAGGTCTAAGAATCTCCTTATGTATAAAGTTATTATATACTGTTGGTTGTGCAATTAAAGTACATTGGTTAAACAGCTCAACAAAAAAAAAGAAAAAAAAGAGTGCAGATGTAAATTAATATGCTTACTTGTGAAGAGTAATTCATTGCAATGAGTAGTTATTGTATAACATCATCTTACATATTCAATTGAATGTATATTGGTGGAAATCGTGTTATGTCAATTATTCTTCTTCATTAAGTATGATCATTGAAAACCAAATTCGTTTGTAGGGTATAGCCTCAATTGGCTGCCTTTCATCTCAAGTCCCTGTTCATTCCATTTTCAGAGGAAAATAAGTACTGGGCCTCTTCACTTCAACTCAACACTCTCCTCAAATTGTGGTGTCTCTGCCTCTAACTGGCCTACGAAACCCTGGCATTATTCCTCCAGTGACCAATGCTAAGCCACTTCCAAGAACCTGAAATCCTTGACATGTTGGCATTTGCTGTCTACTACGTGAAAGGTACGCGGTGTCTCAGCTTAGGAATAATGAAACCGGTTCCATTTGAAAAATTGTCATTGGCATGTCTCAAATGAGCAATGCGCGTTTTTAGGCTATTAAATTACACCTTAGTATAAGAGGTTGGATGTGTCTGTAAGACCATAGGAGCTCTCAAGACGGTCTGTAGTCCTGATTGGAGACGCAAAGCATTTTCTGTCATTGATACTTTATTAAGTGTGAATTGATGTCAGATGAAATTTTTATTTCTCACATCTTCAAAAACATTAAATTTCTACAGTTTCATAAGGTTATCACTTATAATCAGCAGGTTTGTTTTGGCCTGTCTTGAGGCATTCATATATATCTTTCCATTTTGTTATTGCAGTTAGTTCAGTAATTTTGTCAAAATTCGTACATGGTATGTTACATCTCATTGCAGCAATGTTCCTATGAATCCCTTTCTGTTCCTGCATGAAAATTGTCTTCACTTGGATGGTCTCTTCTCTTTTCCCTGCATTTTCCCCTGTTTTTAAACTTATTTATTTTTTCTCCAGTTGGAGCCCAACAGTAACAAAATATACTTCATAAGCATGGTAGAAAATTGTTGAGTGTGTTTGGTGCATGTAGGGTATAAATTGAATAAATTAATTTGTGGAGCAAAGTATTGTAACATTGCCCCTACATTTTAATTTTTATTCCTTCCATAAATAAAATCTTATGTATATTAATTTTGTTCTTTGCCGAGATAAAATAAATTGGAACAACTCAATATGGTATATTCCTTTATTTATATATAATTTTCTCAAAATAAAATTAAAAACATAACATTTGTAAAACCTGATTGGATTGATGGTGCTGTTTCATGCTAAGAATTTGGTTTCTTTATATGGATAATACACCTTTGGCATTTGTTATTTTTAATTTTAGTGATTATCACCATGTGATCACTATGAAAGTTAATATGCCCAAAAGTGTCTTTAACCCCTGAGAAATGAGTTTATCCAGAAAATGTAACTGTGCAGGTTACAATCACAAACTATATTTTAACTTATTTTTAATTCAACTTGAATTTTTTACTGCTGCCAGTGGTGAATAAACTTGCTACAGATGATTCTTGTCTTTTGTAATTTGTTTAATGAATTTTGAGGTAATGGCTTGGGATTATAAGGAATATGATTTGATTTTTTTTTTGTTGATTGTACCAATCTTTTAAGGCTAGAATTTTAACAGGTAACATGACAAAATAATTTATTGGAGCTTTAGTTGAATTGAATGTCTTCTGTATATTTGCTTTGAGGTTTGTGTAAAATAAAGAATATGTGGTACAGAATTAATTTCTGATAACAGATGGCAGAGTTACAAGACAGTTTAACTGCAAAAGAAACAGAAGCTGCAGAATTGAGAAATCAGATTGATGATCTTCAGTATGAACTTTTAAAAGTTCAGGGAAGAAACGATAAGTTGGAAAATCACCTCGCTGAAGCTATCGAAAAACTAAAGACCTATCAGCAGATTCATGGAGACGATAAAGGCATTGTGAAACCTGTTGTAACAACTAGTGTATCTCAAAAAAAAGTAAGTGGTGTTTTTTCCCCTCACAAAATATATTTTTGTAATAAAAATGTCTTCTTGTTATTTTCTTTCTTATATTTTTCATTAGCTTGAGGATCTCCAAAAAGAAGTTGAAGAACTTAGAGAACTGTCAAATAACAGGCTTCAAGAATTAGACAAACTGCATCAACAACATAGAGAATCTTTGAAGGAAGTGGAAAAATTGAAGATGGATGTAAGTTATCAAAATTCTCTCTTTCAAGGTGCTATAATTTTTTCTATTTTTCACCTATCAATATCACGTTATGTTTTTGAAATATAATTAATGACCAATTTACACTTTTAAGATCAGGACGCTTCTCACCTCGACACAAGTTCACAGTTCCCTGCCCCCCCCGCTCACCTTTGCAAGTTTATTTTCGCAACTATCCCTTCTCTTCAATGTTTAGGACCCACTCCCTGATTCGCTTGTAGATGTGGCCTGTCTCAGTCTTTCTTTTCGTAATTGAGGTGCTGCTGAATTACCATTGGGTGAAGCTGATCAGGAGTGAACATTTGACTGAGGAGGAAGAATCCAGGCTTGTAGGGTGTTACATAGGGGTTGGGTCTGTTCCACCGTACCACATAGGGAATCAGTTGCAGCAGCACTTTCATAGTGCACAATCCTCGGATATCAGGTTGAATGGGAATGAAAAGGTACTGTTGGAGAAGTCGTACACTTCAGCCGAAGAAGGTATCGAAATGGCAGTTCACTAAACAAGTGAACATCATGAGTACTTTGGAGAAGTATTCCTCTGCCGCGACAGCTGCTCAGCCACACCTTTTCGTAAAGTGTTTGTTTATGGCTTCTTGTGGTTGACAACCATGTAATTATATAAAAAATATATCGATAAAACTCAAAGCACAAAACCACTGAAATTGCTCTTGATCAAAGCTCACATCACATAGGAGCAGGAAACAGAGCGTCAGTGCGCATCTCACATTCAAGTGTCTGTTTTGAAAAAAAATTATACAAATCACACAAAAAGTAAATATATATAAAAGAATTTTTACAAAAGAGTACATAGCTCTGTGCTTCCTAATTTCAATTATTTTTTGTGGCGCACTATATTTTCATTGGACGAGGGCAAGACAAAAAGGAAGCATTGAAGCCATCCATTTACAAGTTAGCCCACTGCAAACAAATAAATAAATGAAGGAAGGAGAATAAATTTAGGGTTGGGAAGAAAGAATGAAATCATGATTTAAAACAAATTGGCCAGCCTAAATGCTTGATAAATGTTTAGGGATTATTTTGGTTGTAAACATTTTAGGGAACAATGATATTGATTGAAAGAGATAAGGACACACAACATCCTAAGCTGTGCTTAAGTGGTGTTGCTAACTAATCTATAATATAATTTCCTACATCCCCAATATTGTATCCTAAAGTCTGAGCATCTGAAGCAGATAGAAACTTGGGGGACTTTGCATATTATTATTTAGGTTTATAAAAAGTTTTTTCAGATGGAATGTCTCCATAATGAAAAAAAACAGTACCTATAGAATGTGGAATGTAGGCATATTCAGGGTTCAATTAAATGCACTATCGATTAGTAAAATAAACCAATAATACAGATTTATTACAAATAACAAGCCATAGTACAAAATTATATTGTAAAAGTATAAATGAGAAACAGATATAATAAAAATACTACATATGGGGATGGGCCAAGCTGAGAAGACAATACCAAACTCCCTGCTTCCATAGCAGAGGATTGGAAGACTCCTCTACAGGTAGGCTGTGAACACATACCTGTGAAGTCTGGGAACACTGTGCTCGTAATCTTCAATGCACATCTTGTTGAATTCTGAGACCGCACTTTGCCTAAACTACGATAATAAATATCAGAAGAACTAAATTTCTTTCATAGGTCTTGGCAATCATTGGCAACAATAGTGCCTTTCAACTTCAGGGTTTTCCTAAAATCACTTTGCTGACCCCAGTTTGGGAAACCTTATCGCTGATAATGAAGATTAAATAAATATTATAAACTATTCATAGTGAATTATTGATATGGGTGTTAGAGTTCATCCTGTTTTGTTTCTGCCTGGTTGCCCCTAGCATTTTAATAACTTATTGCGAGTTGAAAAGCTTTTGCCAAATCTGTTTTTGAGACAGCGAAAATACCTTTTCTAAGATGGATTGTATGGGGGGCTGTGTAAGTGTTATAATAGTATATAGTAAACGAGTTACAGTAGTATATATAGTAGTTTTTGCGAGTATTCAACTGGTCCAGTTTTTTCCATTCAGGTAACATATTTTAATAGGAAAACATTAAAATAGAATTGTTGCTGGTCTTGGTTTTGTTTCTGTACCTGTTCAAAATGTATTTGATCATGTTATTTGTTAATGAATTTTTCACCTCTTTGAACTATGATAAAATACATACACAATTCCACCATGTTATAAATGATATTTTAGATTTTTGTAGTTTAGTAAAATACTTCATGTTTTTAGTTTGTGCACATATTTTGCAGATTCGACAGCTCCCTGAATCCGTAATTGTGGAAACTACTGAATACAAATGCTTACAATCTCAGTTCTCAGTTTTGTATAATGAGTCAATGCAACTGAAAACCCAGTTGGATGAAGCAAGACAGCAATTGCAGAGTAGCAAAAATGCTCATTTGCGTCATATTGAAATGATGGAGGTATGATCACCAGTGTTTACATTTTTTTTGCTTTTCTTCTTCTTTTATTATAATTAATTTTTTTGTAATATTGTCCATTCTTACTTTCTTTTGCTATTTTATTGCAAAGTTTCCTTTTTGTTTACTAGTGAGCAAGTAATATTAAATATAACTTTTAATGTTTGGAATTATTTATATTGCTGTAGAGCGAGGAATTAATGGCTCAAAAAAAGCTTAGGACAGAAGTTATACAACTAGAAGATGTTCTTGCCCAACTAAGAAAGGAATATGAAATGCTCAGAATAGAATTTGAGCAAAATCTTGCTGCGAATGAGCAGACTGGTCCTATAAATAGAGAAATGAGACATCTGATCACATCTTTACAGAACCACAATCAGCAATTGAAAGGAGAAGTTCATCGTTACAAGCGAAAATACAAAGAAGTGAACTCTGAAATCCCAAAGGTAAGGTAGGTCAGGCCTGGGGTTCACAACCCCTTGGTGGGACAATGAAATTTGGGGGGGTTCATTGATGAACAACAGTTACATATGTGTAGTGACTGACAGTATATTAAGATATGAAAATATATTGGTAATGTATGAGGAAAACATTCATGTTAATAATTACAATTTGGATTTGGAACTCCCATCATGAATGAAATTGTACTTTTTTCTATTTGTGGCATGATTTGTTTCTGAGAGTTGTTATTTGTTGAGAATGAAGAATTAAAAGTTTCAAAAATATAAAATCTTTGACATAATTTTTTTCAATACTTTGTTTATATTTCTCTTTGTGTTTTTAAGATATCTGAACGTATCGAGTTTGATTGTTGTGTGCTGTGTATTGTACAAAAAAATTAATGGGGTCAAAAAAGCAAATCATTCTTTTTTTAGAGGTTGATTCAAGGAAAGAGTTAAAAATTCCAGGTGTTGTCTTAAACTGTGCGAGGCACACATCAGTGCAAACATTGTAAAGGTGAAAGTCTGAGTTCTAGATAGTCCTCTACCACATTTATTATTAAAATACCGGGTAAAAGTAAATACTGATATTCATGTTTAGGTACGTGTAACTTACTGTTACAACAATTGTGTGTAACAAAATTAAATAAATTATTGACAGTTAAATAAGTTAATAATATTGAATGTAATAACATGTTATCACTTATTATATCACATTATTGTATACTAAAAGAATACCAAAATAAGAAATCATATCACAAGTAATAATTGTCAATAAAATTACTGAAAATTCATGTTCTTAGACCCAATTTGCTTTATAGACAGCGACTCTAAAAGAAAATATAATTTAATTTACTTTCACTTCAATATAATATTGTTAATTTCTTGTTTGAAGTACATTTAATATTTATTTCTTATTTACAATATCTCTCTTCATATTACAATGTTCTTCACTATGCATTTCTAATAATCTGTGTAAATATTCCATCGGCACATAAACAACTGGAGAATAATCTTAGATAACTACCATTGTCAATAAATCTTATGATCTATTCTCTAAGCTGGCATGTCGCAATATTAGCATGTACAGTGTGGAACGGTGGCTGCACTAGGTGTCTTATACCTAGGTGTAAGGTACCTAGTGCTGATGGAATATTTGGGCGTAATTTTACTGATGTAAAGAGGACATTAGTCGATGCATCCAACAATGAAGAAAATAATCTCCTGAATAAGCTTACTTCGAGCCAATCCTTGTGAAAGAGGAAATAGATCAATTTTATATAAATCATAGTGTTTAAGATTAATATTTTTAATGTAATTGGTTCAATTTTTAATAAAATACTATAATTTTCATTTTATTTTACGGTACATTAAACTTTTGAGCTGCTTTGGGCCCCAAGGGCAGTTCTGTCACTGCTTCTGGTGGAATATATTAGGAAGCAATTTTTTCTTAGCTACAGACAAAAAGTAATGTTCGTGAAGCATCTATCAACATAATATTTAAATTATTCATTTTCTAGAAATGTTTTGTATTGATCTTTACCAAACTTTGCAAGGGCACTGCAATGATCCTGAAGAGGATCCTGTAAAATTTTTATGTATTCATCACTCTTTGTTATATCATTCTTGCTTAGACATCTTTGATTGCACTTTTTTTAACAGATATTTTAAAACCTTTCTGAACAAACTATTGAGATGAAATGGTTTTCTTAGTTTATAATTGTTGCAGTGATGGAATTACAATTTTGGGTAGGGATTGGAGAGCATGGTTTGCTCTTTAATTACATGCTTTTCTCATTAAATTGAGTGGTTTACATCTATTAATCCTTCTCTTGTTAACTAGGGCTTGCTTTGGAATTATTGATGCAACATTATTGCTGCTTCGAAGACTAATCTTCAGTTTCAAGAAACAAAAATTCATTATAAATAACATTGTTTAGATTTGAGTTCTTGTTCCCATAGTTGTGGACTATGCACTTCACATTTTTAATTTCGGTATTTGGATTGTTGGGGGAACTGTTAAGATCAGTTTTTAGTGAATGATAATGTATGCTGTCCTGTTTGTGTAGATAAGCAGAGCAGTATGCTAAGAAGGTAGTGTAATTGTAGATAACTCCCCATTTTTTCTTCACATTCTGCCATTATTAATTTATAATAACGGCATTGCTTTGTTCGCAATATGTATATGATTTCCTTGGATTTTAAATGAACTAGTCTATAGAAAAACTACATACAGTGAAAGTGCTTACAATTTTGGTGCAATGGGGCCATGACACTTCGAATTTTCTTTGCTTTACAGTGACTATTTCTTTCCAATGCTTCTTGATTGAATCTTCTTCAATTATGATCAGTTATTTTGAAGTGTTTTGTTTTGTTTTTGTAACAGCTCAAGAAGGAAGTGGAAGATCTTCAAGGAAAAGTAGGGCAACAGTCCGTTCAGGAAAATAAAGAGGGTTCACTCTCAGAATCATCTTGTAAAGAGGAGGAACAAACATTGGTTCAAGAATCTGTTAAAATTAAAGAGGAGCCAGGCCTTAGTGGCAGTAAAGAAGGTTTAGAAGAAGAAACAGAGGTACATTCTAACAATACTAAAATGCACTTATGTTTGGTTCAGGCTTAGTAGCAGTCATATTTTACCAAGTTGCTTTTTTTACAGTGTGAGGAAGGAGATCGTGAAGCAGACAAGGATAGACAAATGACGTCACCTCCCATAAAGAAAGAGAAGGATGCCAAACGTGATAAGGATATCAAGAAAGAGGTTAAAACTGAGAAAGACCATAAAGAACAGCATCGCAATGCCAAAGATGCAAAAGTTACAGAGTCTGATTTAGTCCGGGACTTGAGAGCACAGATTAAGTGAGTTGATTTTGTTGTCAAGAAGTATTTTCTTGTGTTAATTATCGTATGACACTTGCAAATTGAGATAGAAGATGTGACATTCTGCCAGTTGCAGAAACACAGTTTACTGTAAAGAAAAATTGGAGATTCTAGTCATCTTGTGGTTTTGAGTGGTGTGTGATATTCACTTGTTCTAAGACACCCCCTTCACTCAGTATTTCCAACTTAGCAACAATGAAAATGTTACAGGGGTCCTAGGGATGGAAATGCCTTAATAAACAAAGTTATTGTAAGACTGATTTATGAATATTTATTATAGAAGTGGCATACAGTTCAATGTTTGTGTGGACCCATTACAAAATCCACAAAGTGAAGGAAGTAGTTGACATTTTGATGATAATAATACTAACGTATTTTGCACAACAAAGCGAGCAATAAAAAAAATGTGTAGTGGCCGCTCTGAACCAACTCCCTCCATGACTTTCTTTATTGATTTGCTGACATGAAAATATTCCAAAAGAATCATTCACAGTTTAGACCGTGAGTCGCATTATACAGAAAGATCCCTGCATTGCTACTAATGTGACAAAACAGTGAGTGAATTCTATGGTTAGTATTGTGTGTTTTGCAAGAAGTGGGAGGTAACTTACGAACAAGTGAATGCTGCACTCTGCCCATAACTAGCAGATCGCTAGAATACTGGATAAATTATCTAGTATTACTGTATGAACTAGAATATCATTAACATATTGAAAGTCAGTAAAAGTATGCAATAGTGCATGGGAATGTATTGCACGATCGTAGAAACAAGTAATCTATTCCTGAAAAATTGAGAAGGTGATTCATTCACATACTTCCTTACTTAATAGTGTGTTCCTTGTAATTTTATTCTCTTTATGTTCTTACTCCAATGGCATTTCCGTTTTTAATTTCAAGAACTTAGGTCTCTTGTATTCAAATACTATATCATGTGAGAAAATGGTCCCAAAAATTTGTGTAGCTTTTTGATCTTGACTTCTGCACGTGGCTTTTGAGTATGGTAAGAGTTATATACAATTTTAATTAAATTATTCCAAAATATTTTTTGTCTGTGTTACTTATGGTGTGTTACTCGTACACTTTTCTCAGTCATTCAATTATTTTAAAAAAATATTTGTTTTCACATTTACTTTTGGCATTCCCTTTTTTGATGGACAGATTTATGTATATTATTAACACATTAACACTTTCAAACTTTAATACAGTTTAGTCACACATTGTTCTCAGAGTTACTTAACTGCTACATTTTGAGTACAGATTTTACATATCTACAGTCTAAAACAATTATTTTGTATGGTTTTTATAAGAATTGTGTCAAATCTGGTGAGTTTCCAAATGTATTTAGTCACATGTTAGTAAGATTTATAAAGAAAATTATTTATTGTACTAAAGTAGAAAATAATTATTAATTTGTAAAATAATAAATAATTATATAATTGAAGGTTAAAATTTTTTTTATCTAAAACGTAGCGGTTATGTAATTCTGAGAACAATATGTGGCTAAACAAACAACATGTTTTATAATTTTCAAGTTTTAAAAGGGTTAAATTGTTAATTATATACATAAGCTTGCCTGACAAAAAAGTGAATAATAAATATGAAAATAAAATATTTCAATGATTAGTTAAAAATTAAATTACTTGAGAATAATAGGAGGTTCAAAAAAACATTCAGTAGTAAGAATAAATATTTTCTGATTGATTGCCATTTTGTGTTTTCCCTTAAAATAATCTTAAAAAGTAATGGAAGTAAGACAAAAATATCTGCTGCTGGCCCAATCCCAAGCATCTGATGTGTTCTGCGAATGTTCACTCCCTTTGATATGCCTTAAAGACAGACACACGGTGGGTAAGGCAAGCACAGAAAGTTCGTCACTCGGCAAATAGCAAACAACTCATCTATTATTCTTCAGATTCAGTGAGCAGTTTCTTGCTACTCAACAAATAACGAATATGTGAAGCTGCCTTAATATGTTAAGATTAATAGTCAGTTGTAAATAGTTTACAATTTAGTGTATCTTCATTGCATGGCAAGCTGGAGAAATGACTTGTAGCAAAACTGCATTCATCACACTACTTCATTAATATGGAATTTATCCACTATTGTTAGTGGTTTGACTACTTTGTAAATGCTTTGTAAAACTTGACCTTGCAACACACCTGTGATGGGATTCTTGCCATTTTGTGCGTGTCTAGGAAATTGTGAACCTTGGAATACTGCTTTATATTCAATTCATTATAATACGTTTATTTTAATGTATGTTTGTAGGAAAGCTCTGAATGATCAAAGAGAAATGAAATTATTGCTGGATATGTATAAAGGTGTGAGTAAAGAACAAAGGGACAAAGTACAATTAATGGCTGCTGAGAAAAAAGCTCGTGCTGAATTGGAAGATATTAAACAGCAATTAAAGAAAATTCAGGTAAAGAGAGATTGTTTATGGTGTGCTGTTACATATTATATTTTACCTCTATTAGAAAATGCTTTATTTCATGTAATCACTCATTTATTTTTATTTCAAACAGGAAAATAAGAGAGAAGAACGAAAAAAACTTTGTGACGAAGACGCAATGCGTAAAATCAAGCAACTTGAAGAACAGACTTACCAGTTGCAGAAACAAGTAGCTTCACAGAAGCAGGTAGATGGAAGTGGGACGTCTGACAACTTCAATAACCTCATGAGACCCTTCGTAAGTTGTGAGAATATAAGTGTATTTGTATAGTATTGCTGCTTTGATGTTGCAGCAAATCTCATTTTCCATGAAATATAGGAAGATGTGTTGGCGTTGACCAGACTATTTACAGTTTCTTACAGGTAACAAATGTCAATACATTAGTAGTATACATAATTTGCTCTTATTTATGTATTGATGTCAATTTCTGGTCAGTAATGTAAATGCTGTTGAAATATTATGTTGTTACAGTCTTGATTGCACATGTGAGAATCTTGTCAAAATCATATTTATATTCTCAATTAACAATAATTCAGTATTGACTTGAGATTCTATGTGTTGTAGTAGATAAAACATTTCTTATACATGGTCTCATGAGGTTTAATGATTGTTGTCAAACCTGATGCCTTTTAGTAAGACTTAAGTGGTTCTGAAGTACTAATTCTATTCTTCTGCTTTCCATAACGTGGTGACAGATTGATATTGTGGTGATAGTAGGTGGATTGTGTAGAGGCAATTAAATTTACTGAAATGGATTACCAGTAATGTTGAAAATGCAAGGAACAAATTGTGTTTGTTTCAGTTCATAGATTCGTATCTTTTCATATTATATGGTCTGTGAAGTAGTATGACAACTTATATGATGACAATGTTACTCTTCTTTTATTTTGGAAGTATTATTATCATCTTGATGCCAAGAGTTCAAGAGGATATTGATTAATGAGGTCATGAACATCTATTTTCCATTAATTCCATGATTTTGATTCAATGAAAGACGGAGGAATAGTAATTGAATAAAAGTTATTATTTCTGTTACGATTGGTTATTTTTCACTTTCTAGTCAGCACAGTATTTGGTGTTGCTTATGAGATAAACGATTTTCTCTTGAACTCTGATTCTCTGTAGAGGTTATTCTTCACAATGTGACCGGTATTAATCTTTTCAGAAATGGCAATCTTTTGGCCTATTTTTAAATTTAACTTGTATTGTTTCTCTGACTCTTGTTTTATTATGCTATGATACTCCAATTGTCATCTGGAATAGTCTGGTAATCTTTATTTTCTTTTTCATATTACTTGTGGTTTTAACTTTGTTTATGAAGTTAACATTTCCTCATATTTTTGTGGTAATGTAGATCCTTTTTACTTCATTTGGAGAACAACATTCTTATAGTGCTCTTGGGTTACAATTCTGTGTATCTTTCTTTGAAAGAAAAAAGAAGTTCTTATTTTGAAGTCCTATTCTGTTTCTGATTAAAAGTGTTTTGGAAACCATAAGGAGTGAGAATGGATAGGAAACTACTATCTTAGCTGGACTTTGTTAGAGAAATTGAAATTTCTGTTTGAAACATTCTGTTTCCAACATCGACATTGCAAACTCATGACAGCTAAAAATTTGCTTCATTAATTAGGGTATCAAGTGGCAGGTTTATTAAGTTTATCTAATTGAAAATGTTTTGGATGCACAGCAAGTTTTGCAAATGTTTTGGATCAATATACTTAAAATAGAATTCGGTTTGGAACTGTGTCAGAGAAAACAATTATTTATGGTTTTGTGTTGAAATCAATGATTACCTTTTTATACACTTATGTAGTTTCGAGTTTGTGTTCAGCTAATTGTACTGAACATTTCTCTTTTCTAATGTCCCATTCATTGTCATACCCCAAAGCAGAATTTTGTGATGCTTGTGTGTTTTTGAGACCTTAAATAAAGGAATATGTTATGTAAATGCAATGAACACCATATGAGAAAGGCATGAGGAAACAAACTTATGAATTGATTATCTTTATTGTAGTGTATAGAAAACACATGATTTTCAGGACTGTGACATCACAAAAGTTAACAGCTGTTAAATGATCATGCTGAGTGCTGCTTTCACATATCTTTATATTTGCTCCCTCTTTATATAATATTTGCAAGTAGATTTTCTAAATTTTTGTGCTTTGTAACTTCAAGAGATCTTCAATGCATAATTTTCATTTTACGATGCTTGAATATTCTCATGATGTAGTTAAGGATAGTGAACAGTGTTAAGTGTATGAAAATCTTGAAACTGAATGTTTGAGAGTGATATGTCTTTTCAGGAAAGAAGAAGTTTTGTAGGAGAAAAAAAAGTGAGATTGCGTCATAATATATTTTGTCATGTCTAAAACCTTTTACCTTCAGATTTAGTATTATAATTTCTTACTAAAGATATTCAAGCCATTTCTCATGTTATTAGTGTTTCAGTTTTTGTGAACAAATTTACTCAGTGTGGAATTGAATTGTTGCTTTATTTTACATGGCGAGACTCAGGCCATTAGACCCACTCTTCCGTCTGACCATGAACATTTTGCTATGCTTCTTTCACCCACTATCAGAGAAAGGAGGTATTTCTTGGGAGATGAAACAGGCGATTTGAATTTAGCTCAGAGGCTTCGTTTAGGCTTGATCTTTTACATGCAGTAAATCGACTAACGTGGAACAGCCGGCTTTACTTCCCCTCCAAAGGAAGGTGTACGAATGATTTTTTCACCCTAAAAATCCACAGCTTTGATCAGGTTTGAACCCACGGACTTAGTTATAACCGTCCAATACGCTGTTAGACCATTGCCACCGCAGTGTTCATCCAGATTCAGGAGTTGAACTGAAAGAGGACAAGTTGTTACAGCAATACATAAGTAATTTATGGCAGAATGGGCTCCTTGTTGGAAAGTCTTCATAAACAAATATCTAAAAGTTGTTTCATGGATAATCCCAGTCCTGTTTATTTATCTGCTCAGTGATCAACGTTTTTAGATCTTAGGTTCTTTTCATAATGACCATCTCTTGACTTGGAACATTTACAAATGTTTTGAATACAAAGAAGTACTTCAAGCTCTCAATTTTTCATATGAATTTTAAATCATGATTTATAGATTCATGAGGCTTATCGTTCTGTTTGTATGCATATGTGTTGTTAGGAGAAAATTGTTTCGTTCATACAGTAGAAGAGGTTTAATCAAGAACAGTTGTTGTCTTCAGATCAGCATGTTGTAAATTTTAAAAAAAGTTTTATATATATTCCACTTGGATGTACCTCTGTAATTGACTCATTGGGCTACTACTTTGCTACAAATATCAGTCTTGAGAACATTTTAATGTATGTTGAGCATTTTGTGAAGTTCTCCTTGGTCTCCCCTACCTTTTTTCTGTTTAATTGTTACAGTGGTATTAGTTAATGTTCGTGTTTATTGCTTGTTGCTCCATTAATTCATCATAAACAGAGCTTGGATGTCTAAGCATTTATTTTGCACGAAATAGCATGCAAAAAGGCATTTATTTTTTAATTAAACTGACATGCAAAATGGCATTTATTGTGTATAAAGTAGGGGTGTGAAATGCTTATAAAATATGAGAAATGCATTTCATATTAAAATCATGATACTGTATTTATCTGAATAAGAAGACAAATTTTTTTCATTTAATAATTCTTACCATTCAGACGCAATAAAATTGCAGATTGTCTTGTGATTAGGAAATAGTATTGTACTCTCACTGTTTTCACAGAGTCTTTTTCTTGTGTTTTTACTATTGTTTTCTTTTGTCTGATTATCATGTATTTTTTATTACAACTTCATCTTATCTTGTTTAATTGTTTTTTTCTTTCTGGACCTTTACCGTTCTGTGTAGTATTTCACTTTTCCACACACACTCCTTCTGTGTTGAATTGCATTTTTTGTGCTTCTCTTCTTCTGATGCTACTAAGAAATTCCCTTCTGTGACTCCTAAGTTTCTGCCCTCCACAATGTTGTTTTTGTGGCCTTTGGCTCGTTAAACCATTATTATTAAATGTCAATGTTTGGAACAGAAGGGATCAAATGACAGTGCATTCCTCACCGATAAATACTTTAAAAAAAATCTTTGCTGTGTTTCACTTACTTCTGTGCCATTTATTTGAGATTCTTTTAATGATTCATTAATAAATTATTAATCTAAATTTGCCAGATACATCTGTGATGGATGCCAAGGAAACGCCCATGAATATAATAATGTTTTATACAGAATGCTCCTGTAAAGGAATGCTATGATTGGTACAAGATGTAACCTAAAGAAAGTTTTAACAGCTAGTGAAAACTGTTTTCATGTATATGTTTCTTTGAAAAGGCTTTGCAACTTGCAAAAATTATGCATTTTCCACTGAACAGAGTATTGTATGTCCCTATTGGCTTATTGTACTTCTATAGACATCCATCCATTGCTTTGCAGTTCAGTGCTCAACAAAATATGCTCTGCAGAAATGTATGTACTCCTTAGTAGACAATCTGGGAACAACCATGAACTTTAAAACTGTGAATAACTCTCAGAACTGGCTCCAGTGTTAAATTAAAAGGTGTTAAAACTTGACGTCACTTCTTTCGCAATGTGAAAGAAAATCAGAATATCTTCATCATTTTATACTCAAAATAGCCTTGTTTTCATTTTTATTTTTTAATCTCTTCTGTTTCTGGTTTAATTTGTTTACCTAGCAGATAGGTGCATTTTCAATAGTGAAGGAGTAGAAATTTGCTGAAATTGTCTCAGTGGTGAGAGGGATCATGCTTCAAAATTTGATAAAGATTTATTATTAAGTTTTAATTAAAGAGTGTTGTGATGATACTAGTAATTATATCATTTACTATGTTTACATTAGGATATACATGTTCTAAGCTTTTTACATTTGTGAGACTAAAATATTAAAATTCAATGATCATATTTATTAGATAGGGCTTGCTGTACTCCAATTAAAATGAGAACTGTAATAAATCTTAATTCCAAATAATGATAGCATTTACCTTGGAGATCTCCATTTGTAGTAATGTTTGAATTAGAGCGGTGCCAGAGGTATTATAATCCCTCTCTCTTCACTCACTAAGATAGTGAGCCCTACTCTTATTTTAATAGGAGTATAGTATATAATAGGAATGGTATTTAATAGGACAAATTAATTACTCAGAAATGGTTTAGAGAGAAAAAGGATTTAAAAAAGTGAGGTTTTGGAAGATATCACTTGTGTAATTAACATGTCACATAGCTTGCAATAATGGATAAAACGTTGATGACAGCGATTTTAACATTTAGGTTTCATACCTTTTGCATTATATTCTTTTGTCTAATTTATACATATTTTATGTCTGTACTGCCTTTTTTTTGAAGTGCTACTAAATGGACTGATACATGTGATTGGATACGAAGTCCCCTTGCAGGATGTATTCTTCTCGACGGACACAGCCGGCACATGTTGTCAGTTGTGGATGAAGGTTGACCACTGGTCTTCAGTGGTAAGATCGTTTATCTGTGATTTCTCCAAACAACTCATTGTTCGTTTTTCTGAGCTCAGGCTACAATATACAGAAATAAAGACGGCTGTCTACTCAGTGCATCAATGCACAGAAAATGTCCAAAAGAAATTGTGTCACTGTAAGCTTTGCATGTGTGTTTGCAGAGGTAATATATTTGTTAATTGAGCCTGTGGTGTGGGTGCAAATATACCAAAAAATTGGTATCTTTCTCCTTTAACATGGAATGCTATCTCTACCAAGTGTTGCTGCATGCTTTAACAGCTAAATTTTGTGAAGTATTTCTCCAGCAGGTGGGAGAGTCGACACATTATCTGTGTTGTTCACCTGTTGTTTTATGCCCATTTTATTTGTGAAGAATTTTATTTAAAACAATTTCAAGATTATTTCATGGGGACCTCTTCAGAAAAAAAACTTAGAACTAAACAACTCTTCTTTCAGTATAGAATTTGTAGTGAATTTTAGCTTCTCCTGACCTTGTCCTCTGTTTCATGAGGAATATTGTGTTTAGGTCTTGGCCACAAATGGTTTGCGGTGTTCATCAAATTTTGTTTTCTTAAAAAATCTGCTGATTGAAAATCAATGGAATAGCGATGAACAATGTAAATGAAAGCTACTGAATCAGAGTGATTCAATTTTTTGACATAGCCAAGATTCGATCTTCTCAGTTACAATTATTCAGTTTTCTGATATTAATTATGGTCTAAAGTTGGTTCTATGATATAAGAATTAATTGCTCATAAGTATGCTAGTGAAAGGTGTTACAATTATTGGTGAAGTGTAACTTTCATTGATAACAGCACTTTCCAAACCATATCCACCTTTTGCCATTTGAAAATTTTGAGATGAAATTCTTTCTGACATACATTCACTCAAATCTGTTTGTGATTGTACAGTTTGAATTATTACTGAAACATAAATAATTTCAGAAGCCCCTTTGAAGTTCTGGAAAGCCTTTCCAATTCTTGTAACTAATTGTGTTTTTGAAAATTATTTTTTGTTGAATTCTTTTGTTTTTATTTATTTATATTTTTATTCACATACATACCTCCCAAAATCAAATTTGTTACATTTTTATATGTGAATTTCATTTTCTTAAGACATTTTATTACATTCATCAGTAGTGTTATTTTTTAATTATTTCATGTGATCATGTCTATAGGTGTGTTTCTCAAATGTTCCAGGTCACTGCAGTTGTCAGGACTAGTAGTATTGCCTTTATCTTACATTTGTTGACCTTTTATCTATTAGATATTTGATTGTTAAAGTTCTTTTTGTTGTGCCTTATCTTTTAACTCCAGTTTCATGGTTTTCATGTCTGACTACTATTGTAGTTTGAGGCATTTTGTACTTTTTTCTACTGATGGAAATAAAGTTCATCTACATACGTTTGGTAAAGATAGGTTAATAATGAATGTCATTTATTCAGGAAGACTCATTGAACAACTGATATGCACTATCAGTTTTGTGAAAATTCCGCTTTCTCAAATTTCTACATACTGTTTAGAAAGTTAGTAAATAGTTACATCAAATAATAACTCACTTTATTTGATTATTTTCGTTTTCTTTTGTAGATGACACAGAGACAACATTATGAGCAAATATTTTGCAATCTGAAGTTTCATTGTAAAATTCCAATTAATGCTCAAGGATTTGACTTTTTGAATTTAAGTAGTTTGTCAAAATTAAATAAGATTTATTAAGTTATTATGTCAATGTTATTTTCCCCACCATTTGAAGAAGTAAATGTTTTGCATGCCAAAAAAAAGTGAAGAGCTTGGCCTCATCAGTCAAGTTTACCAACATTTCATTGATGTATTTTAATGTCTTGTGTATAATAATTGTTCATTTGTGTGCATGTATGTTTGGTGTTGTAAAATTGTGGTCAACATTCAGCTGAATCTGCAGTTCCTGTATGTAATAATTTCTTAATGATTTTAATTGTCAATATGAATAACATTTCAAATTTGTAGTTTGTAAATTTAAAATGTTATGTTTAGGAAGAGGAAGCTCTGTTAAATGAGATGGAAGTAACTGGACAGGCGTTTGAAGATATGCAAGAACAGAATTCAAGACTAATACAACAGTTAAGGGAAAAGGATGATGCCAATTTCAAGCTTATGACTGAAAGAATTAAATCAAACCAATTGCATAAATTGGCTCGTGAAGAGAAGGAAGTTTTGAAAGAGCAAGTAAGTTTTGCTAGTTTGGAAAGAATAAGCATTTGCAAGCAGATGTTTTGAAAATCATGTATCGCAAAATATTTTTGAACATGCCGAACTACTAGCCTTAGATTATAATTATTTTTTCCAAAACGGTTATTTTTACTGGCACATGCTAAGATTTTTGCTGTGATCCTAGTGATGTTAATTTGATGCAAGTTTTGCCTGATTAGAAGAATCAGTATCATTAGATTCTGATTATTCTGATCATGCCATTCTTGCGAAGATATTGACATTACATGGAAGATAATTAGGAATAAGTACATATTAGAAATATACCCACTAGTTAAATCAGCATGTTTCCTTTTCTCTACATGGGACCTATTCAGTCAGGATTCAAGATCATTCAGGATTACAAACATACAGAAAAAAAATATATTGCATAAAATATCTTGAAAATAAACACTCCCTTCAAAATTTCAGCGTCTGGGCAGGCAAGAGGCATGAAAAGTAAACTCTGTTGGCCTTTAACCTCTGGACCATGTGTGATGAAACTCATGAGAATTTTCTTTGTAATTTTAGTTTGACAAATTGTGTCATCTTGCTCTGAAAACTCGTTTGCTTTGGGTAGAACAACACCTCATCCCCTGTTCTGTCTTTAGAAATCATATATCCATCAGGCTGCAACACTAGATTGAGATAATTATCAAGAGCATATGTATTACATCCATACAGATTCTCTGCTTTTCGATATGATTTGTGGCAATTCTTACAATATTCATTTTAGTAATGATATTAGAACAGTGTAAATCAAGAAGACTACCCTTAACCTCGTGCTGAGCATACTACCTAGCACTTTGAGGTATTAAGAGCTGGCGTTCTAGCCCATATGGCTGGTGGAAAAATACATTTTGCGGAACAATAGTCTTGGTGATGCTCAACTGTTTCAAAATCTTTCAAAAAAAAATCTGTCTGCAGGCCTAAACATGTGTTGCTCCTAAACAACTATTATGACATCTTCCAATGCTCTCGATGTTCTTACTTCACTCGCTCATTTGTAGGGATGAAAAGTCTGACAGTTGAAGAAATTATAGTGAGATGTGCCTTTGTCAACTAGTATGAATATAGTGGCTTAATATTCAGGATGGTGGCCAACGTGGAAAACCAAAAATTGTTAAGGAATTTGTTTTTCATTGTTTGGTGGAAAAATGATTTTCAGAATAATTAAAATTATCATTATTTAGGCAGAATGGAAAAAGCGTTTTGTTATGAACTCTAAATTTCCTCTCACATTTTCTTAATTACTAAACTGTCAACTAGGTGTCAGGGCTCCTGGTTTCATCTCTTAAAGGTCAAGAATGCCGGCAACACTGTTTTGTATGAATAAATTTGTCCATTGAGCTGCTAGACCAGCCACTGGTAACTCCAAAAATACCTCACATGCTACTACTTCCTTTTTCGTGTAAAACAAACTCTCCAACCTTTTGCAGGGTGGCCACTTCCAGAAAACCAAAATAAATAAATAAATAAGGGAATTCGTAGAATAATTGTCAGAAGCCCGGTAAAAATTTGAAACAGTTATATAACTAGAGATTATTCCTTAAAAAAAAACTGATCCATCAAAAAATAGTGACTTAATGTTTTTCTTAATTTGTATTATATCACAGTGAAATCTGGGAGCTGAAAAATTAGTATCAACTTTTTATTTTTTAAATAGTGTGGAAAACTATAATTCTTATTAACTATGAAAAAATACTCTAAAAAACGAGAAAAGTCAGGGGAAATTGTTACAGCAAATAAGTGACACCCTGCTTTTGAAATTTATTAGAAAATGATTTAACATTGTCAAAAGCATCATTCAGTTAACAATATTGTGATACTGTTTGCGATAAATAGTGTAAGAACAGAACGCTTACAAGAATGGTGTAGGTCTCATGTTTGTTGAAATACCTGATTTTTCAAAAAATTGAAAAGTGAAATTTTTTATAAGCGTGTTTTTACAACTACTATATTGGAGAATTTTTTTTTTTCCTTAATAAAATCTGATCTCTAAAATAAAAATCTTGAAATAAGGTCGTTTTCATTTTTTTAAAAATATGAGTAGTTTGTATGTAATTTTGTGTAAAGTAAGGCAATTTTTAAATTTTTTAAAACAATTTTTTCTCAAATACAACCACAAATTATTGCTTTAAATTTTCTCTACCTACTTTTGCAGTGGCCAATTTGGGAACAGTGCACGAGATTCTTTCATACGAGCCCATTGTGCCTTCTGGGCGTAAAAATGAGTATATAGTTGCTAATTTTGATCGTATGAGGGCATTACAAATATCTTTGCCAAGAACTAGGGGATGACCTTCCAGCATTCCATTCCAGCATTCCAGCATTCCATTCCATTCCAGCATTCCAGCATTCCATTCCAAATAGCAAAATAATGGTAGACTACAAATTCCTTATCATGTATTATTAACCGAGCAAAACTTTGATTCGGGACGAAAAAAATTGGATTTTGTTTGGTGGGAAAGTTTTATTAAATGGGTTTGGGTCATTTGCGGAATTGATTTAATTCTTAACCAAGTTTTGTATTAATGCTTGATTTTGATGTTATCGAAAAATGTGTTGAGCAGTTTACTCACTTCTAAAGGGTTAGTTACTCGTTTGTTGTGATTATCTGTTAGCTTGTTGTTGAAGTTTGTGTTTGTTGTTTTATCACTGTTCACTATTTTCCATATATCTTTGTTAATGTTGTTTGTCTTATTTAGTTTAGAATGTATGCTTCCCTCTTGTCTGTGAGCAGTAGTTTTCAATAACATTTTTTCTCTTAGTAGTTTGCATGGATTTTTTGTAGAATTTATATCATATCATTTCATTTTTCTTGCCTTATGTGTTATGCTTTATTTTTTCTCTATTTTTATTTTTTTCGAGACAATTATTGTGAAAGATTGTTGTGAATGCTAAGGAGAAATGTCCAATCCTGGGCTATAAATCATTATTCAAGTTTCCTTGTTTGTTTTTTAAATCAGTCTTATCAGTTGTTTTAGACTAGTTTTTGTTTTAAATAATGTTCCTTTAATTTTGATACTTTGAGCATAGTGATCTGATATGTTTGTTTATATGTGAACATATGTCTGTCCAACTTAATTATTTATAAAACTTATGATTCAGATACATTGAGCATAGTAATTTGAATTTACCATTTGCTCTTTAATTTTTCTGTTGACACACAAGTTCATTAGATTGTGCCTATGAGGGATTGTTACCACAATAGTGTTCCTTCCTTCAGTAGCATCCCCAACTCTCTCAGTCCTTGCAGGCAGTTTGCTTCATTTCTATTGATGTCATTAGCACCTGCAGTGAATATGTCAATTCTCTCCTCTGGGCTTTGGTTTTGTAGAGGAGAAAGGATGTTCTTTAATCTTACACCTGGTTTCAAAAGAGCTTAAACATTGACGCTTCCTTTATTTTTTCAGCTATCTTCTTTCATCCACCATGTGCTTCTTTTTCTCAAAGGTGGTTACTTTTGTAGACAGTTCACCCAAATCGTTGTCCATACTTACTGCTGAGAACACATTTTCTTTCTGAATTTTGAGTGTTCTTCGACACAGATAGCTTTTGCTGCATTCTTCTTTTTCAGTTTTCCAGTTTTCAATTTTATTGCAGAGGTTCCTTCTGAATTCTTGGGTGGGCCTAGGTAAATGGTTGAACTCAACTTGGAGTTGTGGGCTTCCTGTGCGTCTAGGTTGGTTGGCCTGTGAAATATCGAGCCTAAAACGGGAACCCCAAAATGTCAAGATACCATAAGGCTTTCCTGTTTTAGGCTGGATCTTTCATTTTGAAGTATTGTGATAATATTTTATTGTGAAGTATTCTTTATTTATTTTATTTTATTAACAGGTCATGCCCTTGACATAAACATGACATGTTAAAAATTACAAAGTAAATTATTAAAGTTGTACATGAATAGTCATATAATATATAAAAGTGCCTGGATAATGTGTGGATTAAATGCAAGCTTGTTCAGTGGTTCAATTGATAAGTTAGTTTATTCCGGTTGTATATACAGATACAAAAATATATATTAATGCATAAGGTATACAATACATATACTCTGCACCTCGCTGAGGCTAAAGCCTGTGCGCGAACCTGCAAATCGCATTATGTACATAATATTGCAAAACTTAGTACATTTGTTAAGAAATGAAATTATAAAATCGAGAAAAAGGAAACAATTTTTATGAAGATAAATACATTAGCACTAATTACATACAAGGGAAAGAAACTTTATAAACTATAGTCGATGAAATACAAATAAAAAAAAATCAAAGGAAATATAAAAAACTAACAAATTTTCTATTTACAATACATATATAAAAGCTAAAATATAAATTACAATATGTGTAGTATAACTTAGATGAAGGATTTCAATGCAAACAGGGCATTACTCAAAAATGGTGTTCAGAACAATCTCAGAGGAGTTTCTCAACCAGTATTTTATCACACTTTAAGTTGATATACTATTAACATTCAGGATTTTCAAATTACGTGGAAGCAAATTGTAATCTTTATAACTGATATATTCAAAATTTCTTCTACCAATATCCTTTGTAACGTCTGGAGGTTGCAAATATCGAGTAATTTTATTGGCCTTTTTACTTTTCTTCATAGATATTTTGTAAATAGAGAAATTCTCCAAAACTGACTTCAACATAAAATATTTCCTAATATCAATTATTTTATTTTTTCTATATAAGATTTCCGAAGAGTATTTTTTAACCTTTTCAAATATCAGTTTAATAATTTGTTTTTGAATATTACTCGGAGGTTTCAAGGAATTAGCGTAGGCTACCCCCCCAAGCAATTATACCATATGTAGTGATAGACCAATAAAATGCATAAAATATCATTAGAAGTTGTTTTGTATTAAATAATTTAGTAATTTTATAAAAAATATAAATGAGATATCTTAATTTATTTTCAATCTTTGATATATGGTTACCCCATTTTAAATTGCAATTTATAAGAAGACCCAGGTATTTTGTTTTATATTCTCTTTTTTTCTCCGGATAAGTACAGTATTGTATATTGCAAGAATTTATATGTATCCTCAATGGGCAATGATCCGGAACCCTGTCCAAATGGCTGCGATATGTAGAGTATACTGTCTGTTATATTAAGGCTAAGATGGTTTGCACATAACCAATTAGCTAACAGATTTAGGTTGACTTCAGCTCTTTGAAGAACATCAGTCCATGATTTGCCATTAACTATATCGCAAGTATCATCAGCAAAAGATATCAAATCTCCCTTTGGCAAGGTGAGAAATAAGTCATTTATGTATAGAATAAAGAATAGTTGTCCCAATATTGTTCCTTGCGGAACTCCACAAGTGACCACTCGTTCTTTACTAGTAACGTTGTTTATTTTTACTACTTGTTTACGATTAGTCATGTAACTTTTAATCAAATCATAAGTAATTCCACGAAAACCATATGTACAGAGCTTCTTTAGTAGCAATTCATGGTTGAAAGTATCAAATGCTGTAGCCAAATCCAGATAAATAGATATGCAGGGCATACTCTTATCTATATATGAAGGAAACTCGGAAATTTGAATATTCAATGAGTATTTTTTTAAATTAATAATGTGATACTGTACATTTGAGCAATTAATTAATTTGTGGATTTTATTATATGATTACTTAAAGGGTAATATACAAAGGGATTTTGTTTCGAAAGAAGTTTGTGCTTTCTACTTACCCAAATTTAACATTTTTTTCTTTGAATAAATGGTTGTGTGTTTTGACTTGCACATTAATATATTTTATAACAAATTCTGAATATTAATGTGATATAATAGAATTGATTTAGTAGAATGGATCTGCCATTACTCATATATAACTTCAATCAAGACTACTTCAGTGATTGGTCTTGGTTTGTTTTGAGGTGCAAGTTGCAATCGTTTGAAAGCACTTTTGTCATCTGGCAAGAGCAGCATGTGAGTTGAAGTTATATGTAACTAAGCAAAGATAGCAATGTTTTCAAGTGAACATAGCAAAATATCCAAGGCTACCTATCCACTATTTACATCATAAGAAATAAAAATAATGCAAGTGATCCTAATACTGGATGATAGAATGCTCAATTCAATAAATATGGACCACAGTTCACTATTAGAAAAATTGGCAATTAAGAGAGAGATAGAAAAAAGAGAGAAGAAGAATCATAAAAGAACGAAAGAATGAAAAAGTATCCATCTATTACTTTCATTGAAACATATTAAAAGCCAAAATAGAACTACAATCCCATGAAAGTAATGTGGAATTGAAATAATAGAATAGAATGGGATTAAATTAAACATTAATTCAGGATTCTGAACAGTATTTGGAGTAAAGAAAATAATATTGAATAAAAGAACGAAACACTTGATTCCAGGAAGTAATATAAGAATAGATGAAGGTTAAAAAAATGTTGTATGTGATTTTCCTTTCTGAGAGAATGAATGAGGCACATTAAAGATACAAAAATTAAAGGATTAAGGTTATCAGCAGGGAAAATAAAACAAAATAATAATAATAATAATAAAAAAAGAACGAAAGAGGTATCATTCTATTGACGTATAACAAGGACATATAACATATAAAGACGTTTACCGTACCAATTTTACTTGAAATGCAATGAATTTAAATTGGCAATTTTCTGTTAAAAAAAACAACAACAAAAAACAACTGAACCATCAGCAAGGAAGCAATGCAATGTAATTTGTAATTGCAATGAAGATTGGTAGAGCATATAATGAAATTCTCACATCTTGGAATATAAGTTACCAGCTTGTACTCTAAAAATGATACCAGTTTGTGTTCTGAAGAACCACATCAAGCTAATAAACTGATATGAATATGAAAATGTTTGAAATAGTGTTGCTATTGAGGCCTCTTGAGGAGTGCAGCAAGGCCATTCGGAACATCGGTTTACTTAAAATACTTTCTTATGAAATAAATTATTGTTTTATTAATGGGACATCCTGTAGAAATTTTAATACTAATTTTTGTAAAGTAAACTTATCACATAGGTCACATGGCAAAAACACTTACAATAAAATATCTTAAAGCTAATTACGAAAATAATATAAAATACACAGCAAAACAAATAACTGCCTCACAGCTAGAATTGGATAATTACATATAAAAGGAGTAAATACACCAATAGTTTTAAAAATGGTCAATTCACTTTGGATCAGAGCTTAAAAGAAGTTGAGGCAATTTAAAAAAAATTAACGTCTTGATAGAAGAATACATCTTATCAATATCATAATTGACTGTTCTAGGCAGTCTATTAACGAAAACCAAATAGCTGTAGTTAGTTGAAGATGCATACACCCAGAAACAGATGGGGTTTCTCGTTCTCATCTGAGGGGTGTGGAGAAACATGAGAGAAGGAAGCTCAAGACAATGTAGTATTTTATGGAAGAAAATTAGATCATGGAAGTTTCTCATATCCTCGAGTTTCCGATTTAAATAAATTGTAAATTTTGGAAAGATTGTGATTAAAATCTATGGATGGTGTCCCATTTTTGAAAGCTAGGTGGAATAGAAATTTACATTGTATTTTTTCCAATTGATCAATAGTCAATTTAATTTAAGGTGACCAAATGACAGGCATATTTTAAAATTGGGCGAATGAGTTTTATAAAGAATTAATCATTCAGAACCTTTCCACCCGTTAGCCTTAAAGCAATAATTGCAAAATTGCTTTACTCTTGGTCATTGAATAGGGAATGATACTACATATTGGGAGAAATAAAGTTTCTAAATGTAAACACAAATGTTATTTTATTTTTATAATACAAGTAACAATAACAAACCAGTAATATCCTCTTTCTGCCCATACAATGTTACATAATAAATGAAGAATAATTTTTATAATCACAATTACCATCAATATTACAATCAAAATAATTGAAGGTTATAGCACAAGGTAGATTAACAATCATAGCCGTTTTTAATATGTGTAGTTTGAATAGAAGAAACTGAGACCAGGGTTTGGGAAGGCCATTCCACAAATTACAACTGTTGCCCAAATAATGGGTGTAGAGCACCAAAGAAATGTTTTTGTTAGTTTGTTGTAGTGTCCTCTGTTGAGGATTAAAATTGTATCAAGACATTATCTCCCCAATTCTTACTTTTGCAGCAGAAACTACGCATACACATCTAAAACAAAACAAATTTTGAAAATAAAATGCCTATCTGCGAAAAATTATTAAAAAAGGTTTAAAGGTTGAAGTAAGGTCCTCTGAAATTGCAACACTGAGGAACTTCCATTCAGTTGGACAATGGGTGGTACGAGAGTAAATTAGACAACACCATACATCCAAAATAACTCCAGATGAATTATTAGAGCATGTGACTGTGAAAGATCTGGCCTGGATGATAAAAGGACAAAATGTGAGAAGTGCATTGCAGGATAAGGATTTTCGTAGCTGTCCCAACGTGCTAAGCAGTGATTAGTTCGTTTGAATTAGTTCATTCATGAACAACACATTTTTACCTGTAATTGTAGTTTTACTAACTACATTTTGAAAATGTAATTTGTAATTGAGTGAAATATTTGACAAGTAATTGTAATCGAGCTCAATTACTATTTTTTTTATATTCTTTTCCCACTACTGTGTGTGAATATTTGTGTGTTTGCAATAGCTTAAGCAAATATATGAAAAAATTAGATCTAAATAATTTACGAAATAGATGTAAAAAAGATATGGGAAACTGCATAGAGATGATGGATGAAATTGTTGATTCTGTATTGAAACCTGTAACATATTTTACTTACCGTTTTTATATAGTCCAGCCAAACAATTTAGCAAAAGAAAAAATACAAATTGATTTTACATGTATTACTGTGTTAGTTTTGCAGGCCTGCACGCAGGGTTAATGCAAATTATTGTTATAATTTTGTACTTATTACAGTCTGTAGTAATAAATAATAACTAAAAATTCTTTTCAACAGGTAGCCACCTTGACAACACAGGTTGAGGCCACAAATATTGTTGTGCGTAAGTTAGAAGATAAGGAACGGATCTTACAGAATTCCTTGGCCACTGTTGAAAAGGAATTAGCACTCCGCCAGCAAGCAATGGAAATGCACAAACGCAAAGCTATTGAGAGCGCACAATCTGCAGCAGATCTCAAATTGCACTTGGGTGAGCATCTATTGAGTTTTATTACTAGACAGAAAATTATAAATTTGCAGAGATGTAAATAATGCGAGAATAATTGGATCATCATTTCCTCTGGAGGTCCACCATTAAAATTGCATGGAACATAGATTTACCTGGGGGGGGGAGTTTTTACCAAAATGTGGTGTAGGTCTGAAGTGTGTGAGGGATTATTTCCCATATTGGCATCTTATTTGCCCTTGTAAAATAAAACTTCCCTACCCTAGGTAAATACTAGCAAACCTATGAGATATCTGTAGTAGAGCAAGCTAAGCAGTATTGTCCGGCTCTGCAAACTTCCATGTTTTTGCAAGTCTCACAGGTTGTATTGTGATTGGGATAAATGTAACTGGAATGGCCTGAACAAATTAGTTAATGCAGTTTTTTAATTGCAAGTTTGATGTCATCACCAAATGATTTGATGACCTGCAAATCTGAATTGATGAACAACAAATGAGAATTGATAATCAACAATTAAAATTGAAGACCAGAAGTCCAAAATTGGTTTCTTGGGGCGTATCTCTTAGACTTGAGCAAAATGAACCACCAAATTGTTCACCGTTTGTGGAACAGAAGGTCCTGGAGGGTGTCGCCACCGAGAAACGAATGTAATTTTCTTCAACATCAAACAAGACTCAAAGCATCCTGATGATCTTGAAAATTTAAATTCTGCATTGATTAGCATACCTAATTTTCCAGCTGCCAAGACTGAAGAGATTTGGTAGGCTACAGAACGGTAGACCCTTACTACGGAATGGAGCTCTGACAGTCAGTTTCTCTAACCGTGAGGACACATTTTGTTTTGCGCCACAAAAGTGACCTAGATAAACTTGGCATTGAAGTGAGCAATGACCTCACACTTTACCAACAAAACTATTTGTTCCCCTACTGCTTCATACAGTAATTTGAAGATTTACTACCAGAATGAGCAAGGCTTGAAAAGCAAACTACTCGACTTGCAGGATGCTGTGTTGTCTTCCCCTGTCCACTTTGAACTTGGCACAAAAAATCTCATCTAAACTGTGAACTAGGCATGGATGATAACATATACCAAAGAGAATGAGACTCTTCGTCTAGCCAATGTACAAGGTGGTGGTCTCCATAAACTGTATTGAAAGGAATGTGAGTTATCCTGACATTGAACAACTCTTTCTTAAAATCTCTGTGACAGACAGTGAGGTGCTGTTGGGGACAATTTATCTTCCTCCAGCGTGCGATCCTGAGAAATATGCTAGCTGTGCAGAGTGTCTTCTGGGAGTTCCTGCGACACATCGATCTCAGTCCTTGCTAATTACTGGGGACATCATCTTCCTGGGGTCTGTTGGAATGATCATCTCCTCTAGACGGATCTAGAGTACTGTCTTCATCCTTATGAATTGCTGATGCTGCCTGGTCATTGCTGGATGTGTTTGTTGTTGCCATCATCAGCACAATAATATCTCACATGGTGGCACTGCTTGACTTCATTTTATCCAATTAAGATTCCATTGTTGTCACAGAGTGTATTGATGCCCTGGTAACATGCGATGCACACCATCCTGCTCTGGTTGTTGGACTTCCATCGGTGATCAATTCATATTCTATGTTGCAGACGGTAGTTTACGACTTTCGGAGGGAGACTATTATTCCACATGTTATTGTCTAAATTGTACTCTATTGGGACTTGTGCTTTAAAAATTGTGATATTAAGAATAATGTAGATTGATTTTATGACATTAATATTTTTTGATAGATCTTTCTATTCCTAAACATATAATTCGTTATTCAAACTATCAGTCATGGTATAACGCTGAATTGAAAACTTATTAGCAAAAAGAAAAAATGTCACAAATAATTTAAATTTACAGAACTATGACTCTCTTCAACAAATTTTCAGCACTGAGATGGAGTGTAAGTCGCTGCAAAGAGACCTATAAAAAAATTTATTCAACTGAATTGTCCATCACTGTTGATTCTCGGGCATTTTGGAAACACATAAGAAATACTATCTCACTGAATAAATTACCTTGTACTATGCACCTAGAGGAAAGTCTTGAAAACGATGAGCAACACATAGCTTTCTGGTGCACTAAACACTTCGGTAAACAATTCTGTCTGCGACTTACCTGATTACTCAATTGTTTCTGATTTGGAGTCTTTGACTTTCATTATCTTGATATTAACACAGGAGAAGTTTTTGAAGAATTGGTAATCTGAATTTAACAAGGGAGCTGTCCCTGACCTAATACCGAACATCTTTTTACATGAATGTAGATATTCACTTTCCTATCCGCTTTGGATACTTTTTATCAATCTTTGCGCACTGGTATTTTTCCTGTTCTGTGGAAATCTAGTGATTCAAAGGCAACAAATGAGACATAGCAAATTACTGTCCAATCTCTATCCTGAGTGCTATCCCCTAATTGTTTGAAAAGCTGGTAAACAAATTCATGCTGAATTTCAAGAATTTGCTTTCTGAATGTCAGCGTGAATTTAAGAGCCATATATCAACTATTACAAACTGGAGACTTTTTAGAAGCTTTATCGCCGATGCATTTAAGGATGGTTACTAAGCAGATGCTATTTATACTGACATTACAAAAGCCTTTGACAGGCATAATCATACCATTTTGACTTGCAAATTGTCCAGGATAGGTGTGGACGAACCTCTTCTGCCCTGGATAAGTTCTTTCTTGACTGGTAGAACACATTATGTGTCTATTAATGGCTTTTGTTAAGCATCTTATCCGGTGATATCAGGTGACCCTCAGGGTACTCATGTGGGTCCTATTCTCTTCATTATATTTATTGATGACTTTATGATATTAATCTGCCATATTATTTAGCACTAAATAGACCAGGTACATCAAACTGCTCCCGCACAAGCTACTTCCTCACCTGGGAGCGTGGTTCTCCTCCAGGCATGGGCAACTTCCCCTGACTGCACTCATTTCCCCTCCAAATCCAGAAAGGGGTGAATATACGCAAGATGAAGTGGTGCAAGGTGGTGAATAATGTCTTTGTACAAAAATGTTTGTCAGATTTTTTTTATCAAATAACCGAGAATTGTATTATGTTTATATTTTTCACTACGTTTTACTATTTGATGTTTATTTTCTTACTAAATACAAACATCTTTGCTAAGTGACAGGAATATATTTGAATTGCAAATTCTTTCCTTGTTTTAGTTTTGCGTGGGGGTCTCAAGTTTTTTTAAGTTAATTATTCCCACTTATGGGCAGCGAGTGGATAGTGCTTTTAACATACAAGAATACGTGTTTGTTAAACTTTCTAACCTAAATGAATGTCTCAAGTAAACAGAATTTCAAAGTCCAAAATACTTTTGATTCAAGTTTTTAAATTTTCCTCTTAATTGAGAATTTGAAATCAGACTGTATTGTTTAATGTTAATGGACTATTTGTTTGCTTTGAATAGAAAATGGGAATTAATATACCTAAATTTGTGACAATGACTGTCAAGTAACTTCTACCAAAGACTGTTATGGGCCAGGTATCCACTGACGTGTCACCACTCCAGAGGAATTTGTACACCCCTTACTTTAAACCACCCGCCACAGTCCCTGCTAGCTCTAGTAAGCTTGTTACCTTGCCTGTGACCTTGACATCCATGGCATAGACTGAGGAGATAAGTAAACTAACTAGTATGAGAAAATTTGTCATTGTGTTGCACTAATAATTAATTTAAATTTGTGTGCTGAAGTTTGTGAGGAAAAGCTTACATCATAAATGTGAGCATCTGAGAGGGAAGCAAGATAAGTCAATGCATTCATATTATAAACTGAGAGGGAGAGCAACGTTTTTTTGTGCACAAAAAAATAAAAAGCTCTTAAATGGGAGGAAATAGTCATTCAAATTATAATAGTTCGTTGTTCTGTTTTAATTTTTTTTAATTTTTCTTTGTTCTTGTAAATAAATAGAGTTAATATAATTTTTTTTATTCAACACAGCTCATGATATTTAATTTTTGGAATAGAAATTTCATTGTTTGAACCATTCAGATTTTTAACCATACTTACACAATTTTGTCCGTTGGTTTCCGTTATGGAGCATTTCAAAGTACAAATCCATGTCCGGAAAATTGGTATACGTAATTATTTGGTGATGTATTGAAAAGAGAGAAAAACCGGGGCATATTTATTGATATATTTAGTTACATCACACTACAGATCATGGCTGTAATGATTGATTGTGACACAGGTTGTGTATAAGTCGTCACTGATTTCAAAGAATCCATTTGGTTTTTGATATGTCCCAGGTAAGGCAAGAGAAAAATTTGTTGCTTCTGGGCTTTTCCTGGAGGAAGAGCATTTGTAAGAAGGGGTATTTTTTCCTCTGGTATTTTTTCAGGCCCGGCTGAGAAACATTGAGGCTCTTGCCAAGTTTTGCAGTTTCTTAAACAGGACTACAATAGCTTACCGTGTTCAGGACATTTAATATCAAAAGGCTACCCATCTTTCAGTTATTGGTAAACAGAGGAGAATTTTAGTTGACATGGAAATAAAAAAAGGAAAAGTGGTCATATTTATAACACAATATAAATCATTGTTTCAGAAAAATATCATGCTCAGATGAAAGAAGCTCAACAGGTTGTAGCAGAGAAGACAAGTGCCTTGGAAGCTGAAGCATACAAAACTAAACGCCTACAGGTAATTCTTGATGTATACAAATAAACACCGTTCTTGCAAACAAACCCTATTTTTAATTAAAAAAGAATTACTATCTTCGGTGGTTCAGGCGATCAATGTTGTTACTGCTGAGAGGTCCTAGAGTAAAAGTCCCGAAGGTGGCAGGATTTTCGAAACTAGCTACATAGCTAGGTCAAATTCAGCTGCTCTTTGGAGGAGAATTTTAGTGCCATGCTGCTTGTAATTGGTAGTTCTCTGTGATTTCTGTGATCAACAGAAGGCAAAATGCCAGAGAAGTACCTTAACAATCTGTCCACAGGCTGCATACAATCTCTCTTCCTTATCCTGCCCTTTCCACCTACACACACTTGCTCACACAACACTTTCACACATGTCGGGAGCTTAGAGCTTGCCCCGGCTGGGGAAGTTCCAGTTGGTGGGGATACCTGGTTAGAGAAAACACTCCAAGGCTACAGATGCCAGATCTCGCCATCCAGTGGGGGGAAGTTACTGCCATCACTCATGATAAAACATGCACCAAACTTACGGGATTAATGGCCTTGGCTATGGATGTACTCAGAATCACAAATCCAATCATTCAATTCATTAAAATTATTGATGTGATATCTACATAGAAAATACTGTTGACAGAGTCCAAAGAAGGGTAGTTGAAACGAAGATAAAACAGTTTAAATACCTGGGATGAGGGGAAACAATTCAAGATGTTCTGATAAAAGCAGCAGGGAGTAGAGTTGTTATATTTCATGATGAATGTCTGAAAAAATATATAGAGCATAAATGTTATGTATCAACATGTGTGATAAATGTAGAACTGGGGTAGTTGAGATTTTTTGTTATTTTTCCAAAGATTGCTTTACACCATGTCAATTTCTGGGCATGGTGATGTGAAGTGAGCAAATTTTGTTTAGTCAGTTGAGCATTGCTTGTAATGAGGATTAGAATTCTTGAAAGAAACAATATAAGAGAGAGATTAACTTTCATAAAATGAATGTACTTGAAATAGATTGTCACTTTTTACTGGCTGTGTAGCTTGTATAAGTGACTTATATTAGCAACATAGTTTCCCAAAATAGAAAATTAGGATATTGGTTGGAAGTTTTAATTTTTTTATTTCTTTGCCATGAAAGATGCATTAAATGTAATATTTATCATGTGTGTTTTGTCGTTTGTTGTTTTCAGGAGGAAATTGCCCAATTAAGACGCAAAGCAGAGAGAATGAAGAAAATTGAATTGGCTGGTACCTTGGATGAGGTTATGATGGAGGAAATACGTGAATACAAAGAAACCCTAACTTGTCCATCTTGCAAAGTGAAACGGAAAGACGCTGTTCTTACAAAATGTTTCCACGTATTTTGTTGGGATTGTTTGAGGACTCGGTATGAAACCCGACAGCGTAAATGTCCAAAGTGTAACGCTGCATTTGGTGCAAATGACTACCATAGATTATACCTGTCAACGTAACGAAATATGTTCATACCTAAAACATTTGGAATGTATTTTCTAATTTTTTGTGAAGTTACTATGTATATATTGACCCAATTATGTACTTGATGTGTTAACTGCCCTGATCAGCTTTTATTCTGTACACTTTTTAATATATGTGTAGACCATCCACTAAGGTCTATTATCTCAAAAGGCTCTTGATCAGGATCATTCCAATAATTTTGATAGCTGTTTCAGTATGCATTTGCAGTTGTATTTTTATTGTTTTATCTCTTCATTATGAAATGAATTGAAATAGACTGTATATATGTGTTAATTTATCGCATTTTAATGACATGTTTATAGTAGTTATGTACTTACCACACCTTAATATTTAATAAGATGAGAGCCGTAAAATAAATTTATCTGTTAATTACAAATAAATACAACTTAAAAATGCATAAGAAAACAGGTGTGGTTATTAAAAGAGAAGCAAGTCTTTTTCTTACATAGAAGGTAGAGTATCTTATTGCTTCAACAAGGCTAATATTGCTGTGTGTAACTGGTAGCTGGTCTTCTTGGTATTTCCAGCTTCTGCCTTGCAGTATTGTTCATGGTTGTAAAGTATGAAAATGATACAGTCTTTTAGTACAATTTTTCAAATTGTATGCAGGCAGAAGCAATGATCAGATAAGTGAATTGTGCTCTGGTGTGAATGGTTGGATATTACTTCTGTTTTCATATGGAATAAAACTTGTAAAAACTTCTAAACACGTATTTTTCTTCGTCCCATAGTACATGTCCATTACTTAAATTCCATAGAATGTACAGTTTCTTTCTTTGATCATCGTTATCAAGGATTTCAAGTAAAATATATTTGTGGAAATTAAGTGAACAGGAATCTTGATTATCAATGAACCAACAACTATTATTATAACATAAGCCCCTGATCTGTGACAATTTTTTTTTTTTTTGTGTAGCAAGACTTGCTAATTGATTGCAAGAATTTTATCCTTTTAACTACTTTATACTTTTTATTGTAAATAGAAACATGATTTGAAATAAAAGCTTTGATAGTATAAATGTTAGTTTATCGAACTGTTTTAGCCAAGTTTGTGGGTTGCAAGCCATAGATTTTTAAGTTTAAAAAAAATAAATATTTCTTCCTTCAAATAGGAAAGTAATGCTGGAGATGTCCAGCACGTAAAAGAGCATCAAGCTTTAATAACAATACTAAAATGGCTTCTTGACACATTAATGCCTATGTATGCTGAGACTGTGATGATTAGCCAATTATGCAGTAAAGTATTTGAATAACCAAACTAGTTTGTTTTTTAGAAATATTATTCTCGATTATTATGAATAAAAAGGAAACAACACACATTCTATTTCGTTTTTATGTATCAAAAAGAGAAAAATAAACGACAGGCATAGAGAAAGAAAGGAGAAAAAGAAAAATGTATGCATGGAGCTAGAAATGGCTTCGTGGATGTAGTCGAGTATTCAAAAGACGATGAATGGCCGATTTGAATAAAAAGGGATCAGTCCATGGAATCGTCAGGGACAGCACATGTGTTTTGGTCCATAATTTGGAGAAATTTTTTCGTTTCAAAGTTGAGGAATTTTTTTGGATTCAAGAGGAAATTCCATGTTAATGATGGGGAAGGAGCTCGCGACAAACGCAACCTCGTTTGCCTCCGAGGCGCTGAGGGAGCAGATTGGTGGGGGGGACATCAGTGACCCCGGTCGAAAACGCAGCGTTATGATTCAAGAGACCTGTAAAGAAGAAGCCATTTCAGGTGACCCAAAAAGTGCAAAGATGACCGCGAGGACGTTGAAAACGATAACCGCGCTGAGATACCATCAACAAGCAGAGCTGATGAAAATTTGGAGAAAGTGCGTGAACTTATAAACTGACCGTTGTCCAGATGCGAGGTTGCCGATGCCGATGAACTGGGATTTCCACTATAGTGCTCCGCGCGTGAAGGATCACCATGTGTCCGGAGATCAAAGATGATTGGGTCCTTCATCCTCACACGTCGCTGGGGAAGGTCGCCCAGCGACGTCTTTTTGTTCCGCCTAATCAAGAGAGACCTGAAAAGGAAACTACTCGTGATTCCAGCTGTCCAGGCAGCTACAAGGTCCCTCGACATCCTTCTGTATTAAAGGTTCCAGGGAGCCTACGAGCATTGGAAAAATCGTTGGCAGTGGTGTGTACATTCCCAAGGGTCATATTTCAAAGACAGTTGCTGTACAAAAATGTTAGTTTTTAATTTCTCGCCTTACGAATGAACTTCGTGAGAAGAGAAGGTAATGTAATCGTGTTCAGGAAAACGGCGAATTTTCGACGATTTCTGAGGGTACTTCATATGAAGCCTCAAAAACATTTTCAACGTTTTCTCAAAAACGACACCAAATGTTTTGATCAAACTTTCTTTGGATAACATAATGAACGTTTAAGAGAATGATGGTGTTCTCATGTTCGTTGAAATCACAGATTATTTTGAAAATTGAAAAACTTCATTTCTTGGAGCGTCTTCCTACAACTATAATATTGAAGTTTTTGTCTTTTTTTCCTTAATGAAATCTGTTCCCTGAAGACGGATCTTTAAATGAGTAAATAAAAGCAATCGTCATTAAAACTCAAGTGCATGTGTACTTAAGCACAAGGATAATTTCGTCGAATAACCGCATCGAGCATACACGTTCAAACTCAGCGCGCGTCGCGTTTCTCGTGCTGCCCTGTGGCGCCAGGGGCCACTGCGCCTGCTCGCCTCCACACCAGAGGCCGCCGGCCGCGCCTCGGCTCCGCAGTAGCGCTTGAGCACCGGAGTAGTGCAGGTCGGTCGGGAGCACGTGTGTTGTTGGGTTGTGGTGCATCGGCGGCGGCAGCAACAGCGGCGACGCAGGCGGACGCGGCGCTGCGGGAGAACTCACACGAGGTACGAGGCGTTTATTGATCCCGGCGGAGGGCCGCTGTCGCCGGGAGGCGTTCCTGGTCTGGTGCACGCTGGTTCCAACGTTTGAAAAATAATAAAAATTAATCCATCGTACACAAAAATACATAATAACTCAATTACATTCTATGGGCTTCGAAAATTAACAATAGCGTTAGGAATTCAAACAAAATTATTTATGCTTGAAGCATTAATTTTTATCTGCAGTACTTCACGAACATCTGCAATAGAGTACATCATGTTGTTCATGTGTATTGGTCCATAAATTAAGACAATATTAGCACGGTTTGCTGACGTTTCGGAGTTTATTTCTCCATCATCAGGGCTAAATACGTCAACAACACGGTTAGAACAATGTATAACACGCTAATTGAAGGGCTCAGTAGAGCAAGGGACTCTCCTAAATTTTTTGTAAAATTGAGTTATTAACAGTATACAAAACTTAAAATATTATTTTTTTAGCGTAATGTGTTATTTAACTCCAGTATGGACTTACACACAAGCGTACTGTGTTTAAAGGTTTAAAATATATTGAGATATATGAGGTAAAACATTAACTCAGAACTCTGTCTATGTTGGATAAATAGCCCCTCATTCTACTAAGCCCTTCAATTATTAACAAATATAATGGAAGCTCACACTACCAACCACAAAAACAACAACCTATAACAAAATTTAAAAAATACAATAGAAATGTACCTTAATTTTGTATTTTTTTAAATTTATCTACAAAAAAATCATTTTCTTGTTGATAGTATATGCTTTCATTGTACTTGTTAAGAATTAATGTGTTATACATTGTTCTAACCGTATTATTGATGTTTTTAGCCCTGATGGTAGAGAAATAAACTCCGAAACTTCGGCAATCTGTGATAAGTCTTAATTTATGGACCAAAACACATGAACAACATGATGGATTCTACTACAAATGGTCGTGAAATATAACAGAAAATATTATAATAAAGCTTCAAGCATAAATAATTTTGTTTGAATTGCTACCGCTAGTGTTATTTTTTTTAAGTCCACTGAAAGTAATTGTGTTTTTGTGCTTTTATGTACAATGTTCACGGTATTATGCGAACAACAAAAATAAATCACAAAGCATGAAAAATAGTAAGCTGTTCACTTGTTTAGTGGGAAACACTAACACAAAATAATTTTGTATTTATCGTCTGTATAATCTTATATTATATCTTTAGTCAAGTGCCCTGGCTTTTAAATACATTGTTTATCGATAGTTAATGTTACAAACGATTTGAAACAATTTTTGTTGAAGCCTGACCACTGGCCTCTTTGTAACTTACGCGAATTTCTGCAGGAAAGACGAACACGAAACAATGAGATAGTGGTGTTGCTTCAAACCCTCTCATAATGAGGCGTTCAGAAGCAACGTCTGTCGCTATACTTGCAGGTTGTTCATGTAATGCCCTGGTTTGTTCGCGCGCAAATAAAGTATTCAAAGGCCGTGCAAACGGAATATTGAAAACATTTCAACATATTTCGAAGCAAAGAAGAAAATTGATCGATGTAATGTCCACATATTTATTCTCATAAATGGACGATCCTTATATTTTAATTGACACCGTACCTGGAAGCACGTTGCCGAGACGTTGGGTAGAAACTGGGAGAATCGGCAGCAGACGTTCAGTGAAGAAGGGGGTGAAGTTCCAGATCTGCCGATCAGATTTCCACCGAACGTCAGACAGCACCTGTTTGTTTATTTATTTTCTTCTGGATTGTGCAGTACAAAGTTCAGTGTACAAAACACACTACATTTGTTATTATTGCTTAAATCTTCTTAAAATGAATTCAAAATATGTCTTACAACCGGGGTAGTAGAGGTATCTTTACAAGATTATTCTTCTTTGGATCAATTTCAGAGTACAGTGTGAAATGGGAATTTGTTCTTGATACGGGTTTTGTGTATTGGATATTTGCAAATTCTGAGAGATGTTAAATTGGGTATATTGGTATGTTTTGGAAGAAGTCTGTGGGTGAAAAGATTGTGGTTGATTAACGGTCCTACCTGGAATGCTTTGTGAAGTTGGCAATTGGAGATGTACCATGGAGCGTTCGTGATGGCGGGAAGAAACTGATTTTGTCTTCTTTGAGTCTTTTGGTATTCGATATGGCAGCACCGATATAACTGAAGATTGATTTTATTCCGTTTATGGAGGGGCCCGGTGAATAGATAGCCGTATCTTGGAAATCCATGAATTGTTCTTGAGGATTTAACACTTCAGCAGAACGCAAAACAGGCGAGCATCGTTTGAAATTTTTGACAGGTCCTAATCAACTGATATTTGTTTATTAATTTTAAGAATGAGTTGATACGATCACGTATCATTTCGTAAAGTGAAAACTTCTGGGCGAGAAAACACTCTTTAGGTCCGGTGTATGAAATAGTAGGGCTGCCGCCATGATTACTTTCTACACTTTCGAAGTGACGATTCAGAAGCCTTCGCTATACCACATGTGGATGATATACCAAGTTTTTTATCAAAAGGTTTTTTCATTGTCAGTTCATTTTCATTGACTCTCGAAGATAAATATCAATTCATTCAAGACCATATTAATGGGGGAACAATTTACTGTTTCTTTGAAAGTTAATAAATTAATCATATTTAAGAGTTATGTTATTTGAATCCAGTAAAATATTTTTCCCCGTGTCGTGTTTATATAATACCAGAAGTGATTTTCTAATACTATCTCTGCATTCCATTCATTCCACATGTTCATACTCCGAGGTTTACGCAACTCAAGTGATAGTCGGGAACATTTTTACACGTATAAATAAATAACAACACAACTTTTTATGTATTTAATGCTTCTGGAAAGTAGGAGATAGGCCTATTGGATGCTCTAGATTGCATTGGTTTAATTTCTGAAAGCAACTTCATGTAATTGTTATTTAATAGAGGGCAGAAACAGCATATTTCTTAACACGATATTCTTATTTTAGTATTCAACACTGTGAAAAACTTGATAGTATTAATTTTCTTTTTTCGAAATGAGGGACGCATCTACGATTCTACGCATCTACGCAAATTCTGTAAATGTAAATATTGAGGGAAAATGTATATCAATTAGGTAATACTGTTTGGATGTAGATTCTATTTGAACAGAGAGACAAGTACTTCAGATGGTTTTGGTCGTATTCTGGAGGGAAGATCGCGAGTGAAATGGAATTGCCCCATGCTGTGGATGACACGCCTCTAAAGCGAAGTTATTTATTATTTGAGCAGATGCATCCTGGTGGCAGAATTTACATTCATTACATATTTACATTCATTACAAAGAAGGATATTTTATTAATGCAATATGACATAAACACATTTTTAAATAATTATATTATAATCATAATTGTTGACTTGTTTTCCGGGAGCGTCAACTTCAAAGGTCATTAGTCCTGTAAGATAGTGCATGTTTTTATCTTGTGAGGCTTGGTTTTGAGATCCGGCGCCAAACTACACGTCCGTTTGCGGGGATTTTCTCCAGCCAAATATCTCTCACCAGCGGGTCACCGCCCCAGTCTGGACAAGCTTTATGCTTCCGACATTTTTGCAGTTTAGTGAATATATGTGGAAATGTGTGTAAGGTGGGAGGTTAGGGCAAGGAAAATTAAAGCAAGAACGCGTGTGATCCGTTGTCCGCTTGAGAAATACTGTTCCGGTATTCGCCTGCTATTGATGGGAAAAAACACGGAAAACTCCCGACCAGAGCGGCTGACCACCGAATTCTCCTCCGCACAGTGACTGAATTGGACCGAGCTAACTAGCTAGTCTCGAAAATCCTGCTGCAGTCGGGATGCGAACGCCGGGACTTCCCCGCCAGAGGCACTGCAGTGGCATAGTTGAAGCCGTGGGCCAAATAATAATAATATATACGTAATATAATAATAATAATAATAATAATAATAATAATAATAATATACCAAAATCTGCATGCGTATTGTTACTCGTGTATAGTTATTGTAAAATATTAAGCATGGTATTTTCTATAAAACGCGCTGCACAAATAATAACAATAGTAGTAATAAAAACATTTACACGGGTAGATTATATAGATATTTAAACTATTAAACATGCGATTTTATAATTACACTCCACTGTACGTCAATTTACAACACGACACAACTCTTCAATTTAAACATCGTGACATTACAAAAAGGCGAGGATTATGCGTATATTATGCAAAAGCTTAAATGTGATTAGATCTGTTCTTCCTTGTAAGCAATTAAATTTAAGGCATTAGTACATTCGTGCTCAGGCGAATTAGGGATGAGAAATGGCTGACCCCAACCGAACATATTAATTATGTTTCTAGCGAGTAGTAAAAGTCATCTGTCTCTATGGTATTGTGTTTTAGTTTAGACTACAGTCCTAAATATTTTTTTCTCGTTTTGTTTTTTCACTGTTTTATCTTTGGGTGAAGGTCTTAGAAAATATTGATTTATTCAACTGTTTAGGTGATAGTCATCGTAGAAAGCTGTATGTTTCGGGAATATTTAGATTATAAGTAAAATTCGGTTTCAGTTTGTTTTCAAACGTCGTGGTCATTCCTGCAATAGTTAATAAAGGAAAACAGTTACATTTTCCCCTCCTTTCTCTTTATCTGCCTCGCCAGCATGTATCGCTCTTCCTTTGCATCTGCCAATGGGAATTCTTCTCATCACACAATGGAATTCGAAGCTCTGTGAAAAGTTGTGGGAAATACTCCAGAGGCCGGCCCTCTTTACACTTTCTTAAAAATTCCTCAGCGCATTCCAGCATTTTTACCATACGAGAGAATATTCACACTCAAGTTAGCTGGTGTCAAATACGCGCTTCCGACTCGGCTTCTAGAAACTGACTCCTTCCAGAATAAACGAGCAGCGGGCCAGCGGGGGCGGCCGGGCAGCTATGCCTCCTCACTTTCGCGCTACGGAGTAGAGAGAAAGTTGCGTAAGCTGAGCGAAGAAACTCTTATTATACGGCCTGCTAGCG